AAGTGTTACACTAACGTAAGATGGTGCACAGCTTACAACAAGAACAAACAGTAATAAACTTATGGAAAGAGGCCATATCAAGACTGCCAAAAAAGCGAGTTATTCAAAATCTAGCAACCACATCACCATTTTTAACAATATATCTCTAAATAACTAAAACAAATTTTCGCTTCAAGCTCACCAGAATTACATAATAACATTAATACCTTATGAAATACGACAGATTTGAGCTCAGAAATTATCTAATTTATTTCTTTTATTGAAAACAAAATTATCCGTTTGAAAATATCGCCTCGCAGAATAACATGTAGTAAGCAGCTGCAAGCTTTCTAACCGGATTTAGAGCAGGCATACAGCTCGAGACTGTTATTGTTTACATATCTACTGAAAACACCATCCATATGCAGTGACATAAAATACGTGTGCCGTCCCACAATCCAACAGCGAAACTCCCAAATAAAACTTGGCAATATTCCAATCCCAGCAAGTTATGTTTTTTGCTTCCGGTCGTGTAAAAACGGGATAAAACAAAATGTAATGACAAATTCTACTACTTCCGAGTTTTCTCGGGATGATAAATATTTGCAATATATACGTACCCGAGATAACTCGGGATAATCAGGCGAGCTGTTAAGATTGAATATTAGTACACCAAAATCTAATTATCAGATCAAAAGTAATTTAAGAGGGTATTTTATTTTTAATTATTATTTTTTAATTCATTTTGCGCACTTTATACTAAGCTTTGAACTTAACCCTTTGATTCAGATGAAACATCGGTGTTCTTTTTACATATTTTTTTTTTCTGACGCTGTCATTAAAAGTCTAATATATTCATTAAGTATATTTCGGTATTTTTTAATTATGAAAAACAGTCTACGAGTTACTAAATATTTTAGATTATCGAAATTATATTTGTACTAAAAAAAAAAAAAACGTAGTTTAAAAATGTATTTTTTTTCATACAAATTAAAAAATTTATCAATAATTAATTTTGTAAATTAAATAAATTTCAATGATGAATAACTGTTTCCTTTAGATATAAATAACTTTAAATTTTAAGAAATTATCTTTCAGAAGTGAGTCGTGTTTGCAATATTTTACCTTTAACGCAAAAAAATGCATCTATACATGTAATATTTCATAACCGTAAATTATGAAATGTTAAATACAATATTTTTTCACTTATTTTGACGTAAAATAACACGAACTAATAAATAACAAAAAAGTATGAAAAACATATTTAATAAAAATTCCACATCAAAGTGCTATTCTCCACAGATTCCACATCAAAGTGCTAATCTCGTGTTAAATTAAACAATACAAAATGCATTTAATTCTTACTCCACGCTCCCCTTCGATTAAGCACTTTGCTTCTTCAGCTCTAAGAATGCTAATTACTTTCCAATGCGTACGAGTAAATTCAAAGATAGAATACTCTCTAAACATCTCATGAACTATCTTTTCTACATTTTCCGTCTCCTTCGTCAATATCTTGGAAACCTCCGCAACCCTCGCAAGGGTAGTAGGTGTTGGCAGAGCTAACAATAAAAGAACACAGAACGCATGCCAGTATAGTAGATTTCCACATGATACCCAGCTAGAATATGCACAAAACTGGAAGCTACTATCTCTGATTCCGAATTTATTTTGAAGTTGAATTAATTCATAGGATAATCTAAACACATTCATCTGTTTATTTCCCAAGCTTATCAACATAATAAAATTAGATAATTTTTTAATAATGTCGAAACTCTTATATGTTCTAGAAAATTAAATTCTATTCATGATGTTGTCTTTCTTCGGTAAACCCTTTGACGCAGAATTTGAATACTTTTTTCATTATTTTGTTTTCATTTAGGTCAAAATAAGTGAAAAATATTATATTTAGCATTTTAATAATTTATGGTTACGAAATATAACATCAGAAATTTTTTCTTCTATGAAGGTAAAATCTTCCAAACACGTCTCTGTTCCGAATCATTTATTTGTAGTTATTTAGATCTAAGAGAAACAGTTCCATTGTAAGAATTATATCATTGAAATTTCTTTAATTTACAAAATCAATCGATACTTTTTTTTAATATGAATGGAAAAAAAACTACTACTTTTTTGGATTTCATATTTTAGCACAAATGTAATTGCAATTTTCTAAGAGATTTGTTTTAATAACTATTAGACTGATTTTTATCATTAAGAATTAATTAAATATATTAATTAAGTAATTGAGTCAGGAAAAAATATAAACACCGGCGTCTCATCAGCGTCAAAGTTAAGTAACTTTTACTTTAGTCAGGAATTAAGCTAGTTATAAAATTTAGTGATATAGATTGTATATTCTTGTTAAATTTAGATTTTAACTAGTGTTAAATTTAAACTAATCTTTCAGGGATTTAAAACCACTTAGATTTGCTCTCTGATGATTTTTCTATTGAATATAGTTTGATCTTTCTTTGACAATTTGATCTGAACATATCTAATTCGGCTACTTAATCGTATTTAGTGGTTAACCAAATTTTGTTTTGCTTAACTTTTGAATATTAATTTTTACGCCATGATAATAAGCGATTTAAAGTATTTGTGCCATATTTTCTAGATATATTCCCATAAATTAAAAGTCAAGAATTCAATTCCATTGTAAGAATTATATGTTTATTTAAAGGAAATCTATTTTTTAATGTGATTTCGTAGCTTAAAATATCGCATGTGCAAGTAAATCAATATATTATGAGTTAGACTCTCAAACCATTGAAAATATCTTAAATGAATTAAATTTTGATCAATGATTTGATTTTTTACATTCGCGAGGCGTTTTAGAAAAAGCATAAGTTTATCAATTTCTTCATAATTTTTATAAGTATATCTCTTTGCTCCTAATATTATATCGGTACAATTCTGAAACTCGAGCCGCAATGGCTCAGGGGATAGAGCTTTCGCTTTCCAATGCGGTGAATCGAGTTCGAATCCCAGTCTACACGAATTCCCGCATCCGGCTTGCACCGACCACAGTGCTGACGTAAAATATCCTCAGTGGTAGACGGATCATGGGTTAGAGTCCCCTTGACGTCATGCTAACTGTGGGAGGTTCCTCTACGTGGTCTTCCTCTCTATGTAACGCAAATGCGGGTTAGCTCCATAAAAAAGTCCTCCACGAAGGCAAATACTCGATCCGGGAGATCTCTTGTCTTCTGGATTGGTTCAAAATTACAAGGCTATGGAGTTGAACATTGGTAGTCGTAAACCCATAAAAATTAAAATTGTGTCGGCTGTTCAACAACGCATATATATTAGGTGGAAGCNTATATATCCTGAAACTCACCACAAAGATGGTTGCACGACGAGTTCCACCCGCACGCTACCCAAAGAACCATCCAATTTTTGGAGTGGTAATTAGATTTTAATGTTGCTCGGATATATTCACGGTTAGCTTCATGCTCATATATTTTATTCTAGCCTCTGCATCAAGCTTAACACACCTTTTTACATTTCGATAGTGACAGGATTGTGCCAGAAATCAATAGTGATGTAATATCATCCTCACTTTGGAGGTGGATATACTGCACAGAAATTTCCATGGATGATTTTTAAGCAATTCGCAGCTTGAAAGTAATCTTTGATAGTATGAAATTTGTTCTTTGCTCAACAAGCTCTTGTTAACCTACAATATCCGCTGTACATTTTAAAATTAATCACTCTTGGGAATTGTCCAGAAAACTTAGAAAGTGAAGATCCTGCTCCTTTGCCCCATTCCAACAGCTGATTATTGCCAACCGAGTTCTTATGTATATAAGAAGATAGGATAATATAAGAGATATATTGGATATACGAGGATGTATATAAGAAGGAACTTAGAAGCAAAACAAATGGTTAAAAAGAATAAGTTTTTTAGAAATTTCGCACAAGCGGATTAATTTGAAATCATTCATTTGTGTAGTATTCTTGTACATCTTTCCATAATGCTGCAAGATTTAAGAATGATATCAATTCTCTTTTCATATCGAAATTGAAGAATGACCGAGCCAGAAGACCTTGAGGCACCTGAGTAAGTTGTAGAACTAGTATAAGCGCATGGTAACTAGATTAATATTTAAATTACTTTTATTTGTTAGTTGAAATTATCATGACGTAAACAATAATTTTTAAAAAATAACAAAATTTTATTAATTTTAAAGCTTTGGTAACCACTAATCAAGATTGAGTTATCTAATTAGATATTTTCATATAAAAGTGCCAAAGAAAGATTAAGCTATAACCAAAAAAATATCATTAGAGAGTAAATCTAACCAGTTTGAAATCCTTGAACAATGAATTTAAATTAAACAATAGCTAAAATCTAAATTTAACAAGAATATACAACCTATATGACTAAATTTTATAACTAGCCTAATGTCTAACTCGACTAAGTAAGAGAAAATATTTTTCATTTTGTTTTGACGCAGATGGGACGCCGGTGCCCCTTAAATATATTTTATGAAATTTTACTCATTAAAAGCAGTCTAATAGCTATCAAAGAAATTTGTTAGATAATTCGAATTATATTCGTACTAAAATATAAAATCCAAAAAAGTAGTAGTTTGAATTTTTCTTTTCACTCAGATTAAAAAAATTATCAAATATTGATTTTGTAAATTAAAGAAATTTCAATGATTAATAACTGTTTCTCATATATTTAAATAACTACAAATAAGTGATTTCGAAGTGATCAGTGTTTGGAAGATTTCACCTTCAAAGCAGAAAAAGACTCAGATGTTATATTTCATAACCATAAATTATTAAAATGCTAAATATAAAATTTTTCACTTATTTTGATCTAAATGAAAACAAAATAATGTGAAAAGTATGAAAATTCTGCGTCAAAAAGTTTACCGAAGAAAGATAACATTATGAACAGAATGTCATTTTCTGGAGTAACGTCATTATTAAAAAATTATCCAATTTTATTATGTTGATAAGGTTGGGAAACAAACAGATGAATGTGCTTAGATTTCCCTATAAATTAATTCCACTTCAAAATGAATTCGGAATCAGAGATAGTGGCTTCCAGTTTTGTGCATATTCTAGCTGAGTATCATGTGGAAATCTATTATACTGGCATGCGTTGTGTTGTGTCCCTTTATTGTTAGCTCTGCCCCTTGCGAGGGTTGCGGAGATTACAAAGAAATGGACGAAGGAGACGAAAATGTTGAAAAGATAATCCATGATATATTTGTATTGTTTTCTAAGTTTCAATTTGGTCATACTCATTGGAAACTTGTTGATGTTTTTAGTGCTGAAGAAGCAAAGTGCTTGGACGAAGAGGAGTGTGGAGTAAGAATTAAATGCACTTTGTATTGTTTTATTTAACATCAGATTAACAATCTGATGTAGAGATTTTATTCAATATGTTTTTCATATTTTTTTGCATTATTTCGTGTTAATTTGATAAGTAAATATAAAAAAATATTGCATTTAACAGTTAACAACATTAACAAAATAAGTGAATAAATATTGTATTTAACATTTTATAATTTACGGTTATGAAATATTGCATGTATAGATGTATTTTTCTGCGATTACAATAATTCTCAAATTTGAAGTTATTTCGATCTAAAAAAAAACAGTTATTCATCATTGAAATTTATTTAATTTTCAAAAATAATTATTGATAGATTTTTTAATATGAATAAAAAAAATAAATTTTTTCAACTACGTTTTTTTCGTTTTTTAGTACAAATATAATTTCGAGAATTTAAAATATTTAGCAATTCATAGACTGTTTTTTATAATTAAAAAATACCAAAATATATTTATTGAATATATTAGACTTTTAATGAGAGCGTCAGAAAAAAAAATATGTAAAAGGAACATCGACGTCTCATATGAATCGAAGGGTTAAGTGCAAAGTTAAAGTGAAGTATAAAGGGTTAAGTATAAAGTGCGCAAAATAAAATAAAAAATAATAATTAAAAAGAAAATACCCACCTGAATTACTTTTGATTTGATTTGATTTCGGATTACTAATATTCAATCTTAATGGTCTGAGTTCCTAAACGAAATATATTATATAATTATTAAAGACGACGAGTTACGTAATCAGACCAAAAAGCGCACTCTTTTCTTCATCGTATTTTGATTCCTGACCCGAAATATGAAAAGAAGCCGCAAATCTTGAAAAATAAGGTGCCCAAATTTCAGTTTTGCGTATTTTGCTGGGTCTGGAGAACTTCTTAAGCGAATTTAAAAAATTTTACCCCAAACTTTACACATTTATCTAAAATTAATTTCTCCTAAGAAACAATTTTTGGTAGTTATATGTTTTTTTTATTATTTTATTTAATAGTAGTATAAAAATTTAGAAATCGTGAGCTATACATTTTTTTATATCGTTTTAAAGTTTGAAATTTTAATTGATAAAATGCAAAATTTGAACGAAATAGAGGTCTAATAGTTCTCTAGAAATCAAGTTTTAAAAATTTGTATATGTTACGGTGAATGACCGAAATCTGGAGAATGTCGACTCTCACCGGTGAATGTCAACAATCACGTAGTCGCTTAGTGTATGTCCGAAATATTTGCTAAATACTCTTATTTCTGACTCTCACCGGTGAATGTCAGCAATCACATAGTATAGTACTAAATACTATAGTATTTAGTATAGTATAGTATAGTATATAGTATACTATAGTATAGTATATGGTATACTATAGCATAGTATATAGTATACTATAGTATAGTATAGTATTTATAGGTGAATGTCCGAAATGTTTGTTATATCCAATTTTATATTAATTTATTCGTTAATATTATTATATTTATTTGATATATTTATTCTATATTTTAATACTTACTGACGATAGATTAGAAGAAACATCAGTGTTTGGAGTATCGGGCAAATATATACCGGGCAATGGCACTTGACCTTAAAAAAACATCAGTGTAGGGTATACCGGGCAGTGGCACTTGACCTTAAAAAAACATCAGTGTAGGGTATACAGGGCAAATGTATGCCGGGCAGTGGCACTTAACCTTAAAAAACATCAGTGTAGGGTATACCGGGCAGTGGCACTTGACCTTAAAAAAACATCAGTGTAGGGTATACCGGGCAGTGGCACTTAACCTTAAAAAAACAAAAATATCGAATAAATGTAATTATATCCACGAATAAATTCATATCAAATCGAATGTAATAAATATTTCGGATATTCACCAAAGCATATCTGTGATTGTCCACATGCACTGGTGAGGGTCCGAATGTACAAGAATGTAATGAAATATTCGATCCTTCACCGACGTATTTGGTGTTTGTCGACATTCATCGGTGAAAGTCAACAATCACCGATTTCGGTCTTTTGCCGTGACATATACATAAAACTTGAGTTTGTGATTTGACTTTTAGACGTAACTTAGATAAAGTGAACTAATTAATTACCATATTTAATATTTAGGTCTTTGAACCATTAAATCTGAAAAATCGATTCAGTTAAGGGTTATTCAGGGAATGCACTTTTTTATTTTTTATGCAGATATCCTTACAATTTAAAAAATTTTTTGTGTGCCATTTTTTTCTATAAAGTTCTATTACTGTTTTTTAACTTATGAGTTTGTATCTACAGAAATAATGCCATGAAATATATACACCCACTTTTCTAAAAAAAAACACATACACTTCTCTTTTGAACATTTAAATAATGGTTTCCTATTGTATATGTATTTGATTTTGAGGAATTTTTGAATACACTATATTTTTTTATCAGTAAACAGTAATTTAAAAATAGCTTTATCGAGGTTCACCTATATTCTCAAAATAATTTGATCGCTTAGCATGCCTTGCCAAATGCAGCATTAAATAAATAAGTAATTAAAATTATTTAATGATATTAATGCTACTGATCTAAAGTAATTATTAGGCTGTAACGAGGAATCGTTATTAGGCTGTAGAGAGAATGCTTCATTTTAAAATTAAATATATACCTTTATATAGTATAATATGATTTTGTACATTTCATGTGAAGTAGTTTCACAAAATTTAATCTAATTGTTATTTTTTTCCTTTTTTAAATAGAAAGCAGCAGCCTATCGTATAAAGATATCTACTGTTCCTACCACCTGTGCGAAAAAAGATTTCAGTTATGAGGACGCTCAAGACTGTGACGCGTTGGAAGGAGCCGTAAGTATCTGCAACAACTTTCTTTCTTGGAAATAAAATTCAGACGCAGCTTTTGTAAATAATTAATTTATAGAATTTTTTTTTGAAAAGAAAAAAAAGAAAGAATTACATTTAAGAATCAAGAGTTAATGTTAATGTTTGCGAATTCCTCCATATCTCAAGAACTTTTCAAGCGAATTGAAAAAATATTGCACATTTTAAAGTGTGTAATTTTACATGGCAAAATACAAAATTTGAGCAAAATTGGTCGCATAGCTCTGAGAAATCAAATTTCTAAAATGTCAAGCATTTAAAATTAGATTTCTCAGGAACTGTTCAACCGATTTCGCTTCTCAATTTCGTCTACACCAATTAATTTGCATGTTTGAAGTCAATCCCTCAAATCATTAAGAATGAGTCCTAAAACAGGAAGATCAGGTCATTATTTTTTTTGGCGCATTTGAAATTGTGAATTTATACGTATGAAAAAAATTCGAAAAACATGTTCCTCATATTTAAGTCAGTATAGCAATCGATAGTTTGGCTTGATATTCTCAAGACTTTCTTAAAATAGTTTTAATTTTGAGATAATTTTAAACCAGTTTCACATAAAAAGAACAGAGGCCAATATTCATTAAAAATATTTTAGGAACGAAAAAGAAATTAATGAATTTTGCGGAAAGAGATCAAAGTTTTAAACATGAATCACGCTAACATCGCAACTTCTAAAAAATGTTTCGAATAAAGGTTGAAGAAGCTATAGCTTCTTCATTTTTTCTGCCATTTTTTAGGAGCCAGAAGATGAAACTTTCTCACAAAATTTAATTTCCCAACTTTTCGACAAGTTTTTTTTTTACATGATTATTTTATAGTCACATTTATTTTGTCCGATTATTTTAAATCGTCAGAATTCTTAAAAATTATAGAATATTTAAAAAACTGTGGACATATTTTGTTTTTGTGTGAAAAAAAAAATTAATCCATCATAACACTAGAGCTAATTTTTTTAATATTTTAAACTTCAAAGTAAATCATTAACAAGTTAAATCATTAACAAGTTTTACTTTAAAATAAATAACTTGAATCAATCTTGAAAAAATTCTTTTTGTTCAGAGAACGTACATTTTGTGTCTATTTCTTATAGATTTAAATTCTAATTATCTCAAATGATTTAGCATATCCGAAGTGAACTATGAGCCCTGAGTTATGAAAATTTTATTTATTACACTAAAATATAATAATATCAAAAGTTATACAGGGTACATATTTTTGCCCACTGCACAATACGGTACAAAGATTTTAGTATTATCTTTTTTCAAATATAATTATATTCTAGAATTCAAATATAATTATGTTTCAAATATAATATATTTAATAATGTAATTTGTAAAACATTTGATTGCTTTTTTAGGAAATCCATTATTGCACCCTTATTGAGAAAAGAAACAAGAATGGAAAATATGTTTTGCAGAGATCAAGTTGCTCAAAAAAAAGTTCATAGAAGAATTTTCCGAAATTAAGACTAGACTTCAACTGATAATGAGGCAATTATATTCTTAAATAGTTTATATTGTTATGCGATAACCGAAAAATGCATGTGAGTTTCAATAAATACAATAATGAAGTCGAACTGATGTAGGGATTATTTCTGATTTTGAAATTATTAAATAGATTTAAATTAAATCCTTTTTCTAATACGTGCGCGCAGATCGTCTGTGTATCAAAGCGGAGGAGTCATCCCCACTAAAGAGGATCAATTTTGTGATGGCATATCTTCGGATCATTCTCAGGAATATTTCTCACACCGTCTCTTGTGGGATACTTGTAAATGAGTATCTCGATCCTTATTGGTCGCTGAAACATGGCATTTGTTTTCTTTAGCAACTGTTCTTTCCATTTTATTTCGAGTAAGCCTAGCTCGTCAAGTATCAATTCTCTTAAGGGACATAAACTATATTCTTTTACAAAAACTTTTCCTAAGGATTTCAATTCTTTCACCATATATTTCTCATTTAACACAAAGACAGGCATACATAAAGCCATGTAGAACACAAACAAACTTACTATGCCTCGAAGTTGCCATGTACACAAAATAAAAATATATCACGGTTACAATAAAATATCTAAAGAAATAATGTATCCAAGTTAAGTAAAAGATGTGGACACGAAAGAATTATATTTCAACAAATTCGAGGTGCGATGCGTCACTGAGTTTAATTAATTTCACGTTAATTAGAATTCTAACTTATGTGGAGAAACTTAACTCAACATTAACATTCCATTTTGCTTTAACTATCAGCTATCGCTAACGTCATAGATCACATGCGTGGGTATCCGAGATTTTCTTCCCCTTGAAGTGCAGTTACAGCAATAAAGTATTGCTACTACTATTTTCAAATACATTTTTTATTGGTCGTTATTAGCGAACCTGTAATGTTGACAGCTCCTGTGCTTAGCTATAATTAACGACAATATAAAGTTTCGGGGGCAGCAGCTTAGTCCGGGATTTTTATTGGATAGATAGAGATGGAGGTTTTACAAAGCTAGGTTAGTGCTTCCCCCATTTCAGGATTTCCTTCCCCCCACAAGTCTAGATTAATATCTGTCTCAGGTGTACCGTCAAAAAATTTTACTCATATTTTTTATGTTAATTTTTTAAAATTCTTTCTAATAATTCAAGAACAAAATAATGCATATTACATATTTATTTTAATTTTATGTACCTTGTGAGAAATCATTATTATTCAATTAAGCTTTAGATTAAGAGTAATTTTTTTTAAAACAATTTTTCAGCTCATTGGGTAAACTAACAACTGCATAAACAATACAAATAAATAATTTATTTAGGGCTTTATTCAATAAAAAAGTTGTTACAAGATATTGTGTCTTCATATCAGAACGTAATTATAACAAAACAAAAACTAAGAGAGAAATTGTTTAGAAATAGATGCTAGAAAAAAACGATATATACCATATTTTTCTAATGAATAAATTTCTGTGGGATATTAGTGCTCAAATATTTTTATATATCATACTATTACACCCCAAAAAAATAAAATAAAAATAATAAAAATGAAGAAAAATATTATATTTTCACGAAATTGAAATGTAAAATATTAAGTGATAGATTTTAAACATTTCAAGGGAAAACAATGTAAATTGTAAATGAAAAAAATTACAGTAAATTAGCAACATAAATAAATTTATGTAACTGACATTTAAAATATATTTTAAACAAAATAATGTAGAAATCAAGGAAAAATTAAAAATTAAGACTTTTTTAACAATGGTGATATTTTCACAAAATAAAAAGTGATGTATTTCATCGGAAAGGAAGTACATTATTTTTTTATAAGTAATAAAATATTTGTGAAATATTAGTATTAACAAATATACAGTTATAAAAAAACAATGAGAAATTCAACAGAGAAATAAAAATGAGGAAATTTGTAGAAGTAATGAGATTTTCACAAAATGAAAGAGTAAAAAGTAATGTAGGTAAATCTGAGAAATTTAATAGACGCTTAAGCTGAATTAATTATGTTACTAATATGAAAGTTTAGTATAGCTTAATTAAAGAACTGATGAATTTAATCAAATAATAAATCGCAAATTTTGAACAGAATAGCTTAGATGTGGTAATAAAAAAATTTTATGCATTATGGAAGAGAAAGGAGTTAATTAAAGTCCTTCAGATTCCATTTAAAACAATCCATCTAGAATTCAATCGAAGTTTAGTAATTTATCAAAATTATTCAGCTCAAAAAACTCCAATCCAGAAGTATCAAAACTCTTCATCTGATAGCGAAACAATAAAGAAATCTTCATCTTGTGATTCAATTTCTTTGTTCACATTACTTTCAATATCTTCAACAGTGGTTTCGCGAATTTTTTCGCTAATTTGAGTTGGAATTGCTTTTTTTATAATTTTCTCTCGTATTTCGGTTTCATTACCACCATTAGTAGACAACAGCGCTTTCGCACTTCCATTCAATGGTCCTGAAGTTTCGTTCAGTGAAACTTCTTCGGGTAAACTGACGTCACCTGTCTTAATAAAATTTTTGTCTTTCCTACTCTTGGATACGTTTTCTTTTGGTGGTTTAGCATTAGAACAAGTTTTATCGCAATCGGAATTCCCAAGGGTGGTAGGGCTAACTACCTGGTCTTCAACACGAGAATTTTCTTTACCAAAATCCTGATTTTGCCCAACTGATTGGCTTTCTTTTGTATCATTAAAATCCTTTTTCTTTTCATCAAACTGTTTTGAAACAACGTCTTTCAACGGAAGTTTAAATGCTTTAAAAGACGGTTTTAATTTTGGATTAGTTTTAAAATTAGATCTTGATGATTCATTGTTTCTTTGGATTTGTTTATCACACGAAGAAATATTTTGTTCTGCATTAACTTGAACATCTTTCTTCTTGGTAACCGCTTTTTCAACTTTTTGTTTGTTTCCCTGTAATTGTTTTTCCTTTTTAGGTTTGGCAGCTCCAACGATGGTGCTGGTTTTCGCACCAACATTTTTTATATTATTCGATAGACCAAGATTCGCTCTCGGTGCCATGGCAGTTTTAGTTGTTGTCATAATTCTGCTTGTTTTCTTCTGGGGGATAACTTTGACCTTATCATCAGAGAGAGATTCCCCATTGTCGTTATTTACATTATGTTTCCCACAATTCATCACAACTCTGTGATTGGTTTTATGTTTTAAGGTTGACTCTGCCTTTAAATCTTTTTTCTTCTTCAATACCTTTTTATTAGATTCTTTTTTATCATCAACTGATTTAACACCGTTTACTTCAGCTGACTGAATGGGCAATAATGTTTTGTTTTGCGTCTTCACAGCTGGAAGATTGATATCATTATCACAACTCCTGATATCTTCCACTTCTTTATCCGGCTCGTGAAAATGATGATTATTTGTGACAATTGTACTGACGACATCTGATGTCACGTTGGGGCTTGTTTTTAAATCTTTTATCTGCTTCTTTTTAAGTTGTTTACATTTTTCACTGCGTTCTGCATTTGGCTGAGTGGCCAACAATGTTTTATTCCCCAAATCTACAGATGAAACACTGTCGTGTATCATGACATCTTTATCTTTACCAGAACACTGATGCTTGTTTACGACTTTCGTATCGATACCATGTTTTTCACTAGGATTTGTCATTAAGTTACCAATTTTTCTCTTCTTAGTCAGCTTATCCTTAGATCCTTTTACAACTTTAGCTCCACCCTCTTCGCTGGATTGAATAGACATGTTAGATGAAGGATTATCACTAACAAGACACTTGAATGATGTCTGATTTGCTTCAGTTTTTTCTTCTTTGTTAGAAGCTATGACTAACTCCAATGTGTCATCGTCATCAAGGCAAAGATCAACATATTCAGGTGGTTTAGTGGCAGTACTTTCAGAGGAAGTAAGATGATTCACTGAGCTGCATTTTTTTGAGGCTTTGTTATCCAAATTCTTATTTTTACGCTTTTTTGTGAAGTTTTTCTCGGGGACAGTTGCAGATGATCTGCGGAATTTTGTTTCACTTGCTTCATCGGAGGATATAGCTGATGTTTTCATCTTCTTTTCTGTTCCTGAAGTGGAAGGGGAAGAATTCATTATAGAACATTCGCTGTTTGATCCAGTTTCATCAATATTACCGGCATCTGGAACAACATGTATTAGCTCCCTGGGTATTTTGTCTTCATTTTCATTTGATCTTTTCAAAGTAGAAGAATCTTCAATCAAAAAGAAAAATAACTTATTATTAACAATTTTAGTAAAATATTTTACATATAAAATCCCATTTGGTACTCAATGAATTGATAAAACTGGAATATTGGCTAGAATGAAATGCATTCATAATGTCATCTGGCAAAAAAACATACTTTTAAAGAAAAAGTTTTTCTTTGTTGCTTTAAATCGGATTTATTTTATTTTCATTTGTTTACTTTCTTACATATACCAACCAAAGCTATGATAATAATACTTAATATTAATGTGATTGGTAATATAATATTGATGACAATATTATAACTAAAATATTTAAGACTTTTTTGATCGGCTCTTTTACACAGAAACTATGTCATTTCCCTTGCACTATGCCATGTCATTTTGTAACTAAATATGGTAAAATATTCTAAATAAGGATTTCATGTTCAAACGTTATTGACAGATTATGAGCTAATTCGACATCGCAAGTATAATAAACGAGGTAACTCAACATCGATTAACAACTTTGGGCACGAAAAGACGAGTAAACTCGTCACCGGCCAACAATGCGCAAATATTTTTAATTTAAATGGTAAAATTATTATTCAATAATTATAAAATAATTTCGAACTAATCAGTAAAAAAATAACACCATTGTTTTTATTCAAGTTCAATACATTTAAGAATTTGTAAAGATAAAGATCCAATATGTCAGATAAATATTAATGAAGAATAAATATAGATCAAGAAATATACAAAAAAAATCAATTACTCTAAATTACTTTTGGCAGAATAAGCATTTCTGCATTAGGTATACATACAAAGCGTTTAATAAGTTTAAAAGGTATTTGTTTTTAAGCAAATATCAAACTAAATTAATATGATTGTTATATAATAGCAATAATATTTAATTTAATAATACATTTATATTCAATAATTAATATAATAGAAAAATTATTTTACATACAATTGCGGTAAGTTACAGTTTCACACTACTCTAATCCAAACATCAAATAATAATTTACAAGCATAAAAATTTTGGATAAAGCATTCAATATCAATGAAATTTGACTTTTTTTTTAAAAAGAAGCAATCACAAGAGTATCCTAATTAAAATTTTTGAACAAAGCAATGATTTTTTTTATTAAAAAAAGCGTCTGATTAAATCAATATTTTTGGTCAAATCAAATTATTTAAATCACGCCAATTTTTCTTAATTTTTTGATAAAGCAATAGCGTGAAAAACTGGCTATCCCCGTGAGTTTTTACACTATAAAGATGGGCCGTACTGTGGAGAAACATTTCCTGTCTGCGAGCAAATTCATTTGTTCTCAGAATCAGTTTTCATGGACAAAAACAGTTCTTCCCCCACGTTCTTTAATTATAATAAAACTTGTATTTAACTACATTTTAATCTAATAAATAAGTTACACATGGTACTTGTGTGAGGAAATTTTTGTTGCATGTGCGTGGAAATTTATGTAGTGAAAGGTCAAAGAATCAGTATAAGCATTTTAGCTACAAAAGTAATAAATAAAAATGCATATATTTGTTTTTAACATCATTAAACATATTTTGAACTACATTTAGAACTAAAGTAGTTAATTAAGAACTTTTTTAAAAGAGAAAAGTAATAGCTGTTAACTTTAACGCTTTTTGCAACAAAAAGAATTATATAAGAAAGTAGATTAAAGTTAAACGAATTTTACATAAATTCACCAGCATTTAGAAACACCACTGTTTCGCTTGAAGGTGAGTTTATGTATGATTGAATCATTTAAAAAACATAGAGCTAAAAATATTTTCAATCAAACTCATCGAAACAAAAATAAAAAGTTAAATCTAACATTTTGTTACACTACAATTAAGAGAAAAAGTACGAAAGTTGGAAGATGAGAGAATTTATGGAGTAAGCAAATTTTAAATGGAGAACTGCACCCGAAACCAATTAGACTGAGTTCTTAAACACTGAATTAAATTTAATATGGAAAAATAAAGGGAAATAAAGTTATTTCTTTAGAACAATTTCGAAAACTACCTCTTTATTTGTTTATTAAACAGAGATGAAAATAAAAAATAAAAATCTGCATTACTTCTAAGAATTTTTTTTCTTTTTTTTCAAACAATTAAAGTTATGAATATATTTAGATTTAAAAAAAATAAAAACAACATTTTTTCCCATAAATCTAAAAATTTAATCGCAAATAATGAAAAAAAAAGGACAAATATGGTGGAGCTCAGAACAGAACCCGTTTTCTATCCAGCACTTTTGAGTGTTTTAATTGAGTGTGAGATTTATAAAAATAAATAAAAGACTTTTTTTGTGTATCACAAATCTAAAAATGCTTTCTTAGTAATAAAAATTCAAAGTTAAAAACATTATGGTAAAAATAATAAGATTGTGAACTCACAAGAAACTTATCGTTCTTCATAAAATGATTCCATTGTATGTGAAACACGCTTTGATAACACATTTAGATAATTTATTCATCACAACTGATTGTTGAAATGAAAGGTTTTAATCACGGAGAGAAATTCCTTAAATTACTTTCTTAAGTAAAACTAAACTCAGTGGCGCGACAGCCCATAGAGGGCCAAGGCCTACTGTGCCCATCTCAGTTTTCTTGACCTTGGGCTCTGGGGTGCAGGAGCAGATGTTCCGGTCAGGTAGTCAGCCGAACGCGGAACCCCCAGTGTTTAGTTCCCAAGCATGCTTGGTACTCATTTATCGACCCACTGAAGGGATGAAAGGCTGAGTGCACCTTGCCCGGCCCGAGGATCGAACCAGGGACCTGTGGCACGACAGCGCGAAGCGCTACCGCTCAGCCACCGGGCGTCACTTTCTTAAGTATTAGTGGATATTCCTAGTATTATTCCAAACTTTTTGTAAGTGTAGATTTTTTTTTTTTTAAATCAAAATTTAATTTTGTGAAGATAAGATTTCGTTTTTGCAAAAACCCACAAACACCAGCGATCTCCTTATACTTTTTCTTGAAATGCCTATTTTTGTAAAAAATAAATTAAAAAATCTATTCGGAACTGCTACTGCAGAATGGGGTTCTTTCTGCCAGTATCCTGTTTTTAAGATAAAACTTAAAAACCTTGTCTTTCAAAGAGTTTAAAATGAAAAATTTTGTTAAAAAGTCTATGTTTATTGTAAAATACTTTGCGAAGGGTCTGATTTAACGATATAAATTCTTCGTGAAGGATCAGTTTTAATGATAAAAAATTTATTGAAGGCTCAGTTAGCTAACTCAAAAGCTTCTTGAAATTACCTGGGTAAGGTTAGTAAATTATTCAATCAAAAGTTATAATGACGGTTTTTGCAATCATTTGTGTTTTCCAAAAGAAAGAGTGAGAAATAGATCGGTGATGGATTGAACCCCTAGATATAATTAAAAAAAAATAACACAAATATTTTACCCTTAAAGGAATTCTGATCCCTGAATTCATGTAATTATGCCTATATTAGCAATTATGTAATTATGCCTATACTAATGGATGCTCACTTCTCCATATACTTTATAATTCACAAAAATATCAACTGTTAATTACCTGAATCAGAAGAGAAATCTGAATCAATTGAATCAAGTTCCTTCAATAATGTATCAGCTGTAATACATTCTGATTCATCAGAACTATCAGGCTGAACTAAAATATGAATCGATATATTATAATATGGCATTTTATTTTCAAAATATAAAGTTATTCAGAATAATATGAAAAATTAAAGGGAAAAAAACATTACAATTACAGGCTAGAGGAAATTTTCCTTTATATAGATGAGGAAAGCTAAATTTCTCCAAACGTTCCTGTAAGTGGATAAAAAATATTTTAGTTTTAAATATTTATACTAGTAATATACAGAACAAAAACTTAAATTTACTTTTACATTTTGAATAGATTAGTTTTTTAAAAGTTTTTTTTTATACTAATAGTTTCTAAATTAACGGGTTTTATATTTTGTATTTATACGAAGTGTAAATTCAAATGAAGCAGGTGTTGACTTGTTGACTTGACGATTAAAATGCTAACGTTTTGAAAAATATGATGAGAAGGTAAGTCAGGTTTCACTGATAGAAAAATGAATATAATTATTTAAAAAAAAAACAGTTTCCCCCCAATCATATATTCTAAATTCACAAGGAAAATTGGGTTAAAGCGAGACATTGTTAATTATTTTAAAACTAGCCGCTTCCGGACACCAGCTGGTCAGACTTAATAAATAAGAAAAAATTAAAATATTTTGATATTTAAAACTGTACAGTCAAAAATTAAGACAATATGTAAGTATAATGAACTCATATTACTCAAGTGTGATCTCTCTTTTGTCTCTTACATGTTCGCGTGGGATCGTGGGAAATTTATTATTAAAATGTTTAATACAGCATATGCAAACTTAAATGTTTTTTTTCCTTCAAATTATCTGAATGGCGCCTTTGATGAATAATAAATCAATTAACAACTTCGTCAATATTAAACTATGCACTTATTTTCTATTGTTAATTATGCGAGTTAAAGAATTTCATTCGTTTCATTTGTAAGTTCATTTCTAAGATATTCGAATCCAATTGCTTAGGTCTTTGACCCTTTTTAAACATAACTATATACTATACTTTAATTACTACTTATACTTTAATTGTTTTAACAAAGAGAGAAATCTATGACTATGAGGTTTGGAATATTTTCCATAAAATTTTAGGAAATCTATAGTAAGTTTTCAGTAAATGTTAAATAGCTAACATAAAGTTTTATATTAAAGTTAAACACATAATATAATGATGCAGAATTACTTTCAGAGTCATTTCCAATGCCGCGTTTGCATTTACTTCAGCTTTTTCGAGTAACATTCTATATTTTTTCCTATTTAGATGCTTTGGAAGGTGCTACAAATAAATTAAATTAATACAGTATACTAAAGTTTATTTTCCATAAATAATTAAACTAAAGTAGAAAGATTTATTAAAAACCTCTTCACTTAAAGTAGTTATCCATACATGCTTAAGATGCTTATTTAAATAATATTGTGTTAGAGATAAAAAGTTCGAAAAAAGAAAAATAATTTTAAAGAAAACAAGATTTTAAAAAAAATGAGCAGCAGTACCAAATGCCGAAAAGGTAGAAAGTTAAAGTTGATTGACGATGAAATCTGCAGAAACAAAGCACGTCAAAAATAATAACTGAAATACGCGATTTGAACCAGGTAAGTCTTAAAGATATCGTATTAACGATATCAGGATGTTCAAAATTATGTTGAAAACGTAGAAATGAAATTTTTTAAAAAGTTAAAAAATTACTTAGATTGATGATGAAATTGCTATAAATAAGAAAAAGGATTATTAAAATGCGTGATGTGAAAATCGCAAGTCGTTACAGTAACGGATTTAAAGATCGAGATTCGCAAACCCGCGTAGAAAAACGTAGCAATACTGACTGAAGGAACGATGAAAAAATAAAAACAAGTTACTTAGTTCAGCGATGAAATCGACTCCAATAAGTTGCATATTTAAATGCGCGATTCGAGTGCATATTAAGGATATCGGGATTTTTCAAAAGCATCGGGGAACACGTAGCAATAGGTGATTAAAAAAATTAGATAAAAATAACTTGGATTTACGATAAAATTAGCTCAAATAAGACATATAAAAGGCAGGGCTAAAGAGAATAGAAGGGCTGGTTCACTCCTTTGAAGTATCTCGCGCCGCGCCGATCCTCGGACGTCACTCTAGTGACGTCACTTTGGCGCAAAGCTCGCACTTTTACCTCAAGAACGNAAAAATAATTTTAAAAAAAACAAGATTTTAAAAAAAATGAGCAGCAGTACCAAATGCCGAAAAGGTAGAAAGTTAAAGTTGATTGACGATGAAATCTGCACAAACAAAGCACGTCAAAAATAATAACTGAAATACGCGATTTGAACCAGGTAAGTCATAATGATATCGTATTAACGATACCAGGATGTTCAAAATTATTTGGAAAACGTAGAAATAAAATTTTTAAAAAAAGTTAAAAAATTACTTTAGATTGATGATGAAATCGCTATAAATAAGAAAAAGGATTACTAAAATGCGTGATTTGAAAATCGCAAGTCGTTACAGTAACGGATTTAAAGATCGAGATTTGCAAAGCCTCGTAGAAAAACGTAGCAATACTGACTGAAAGAATGATGAAAAAATAAAAACAAGTTTCTTACTTTTGCGATGAAATCGACTCCAATAAGTTGCATATTTAAACGCGCGATTCGAGTGCATATTAAGGATATCGGGATTTTTCAAAAGCATCGGGGAACGCGTAGCAATAGGTGATTAAAAAAAATTAGATAAAAATAACTTGGATTTACGATAAAATTAGCTCAAATAAAACATATAAAAGGTGATTATTATTAAAATGTACGATTCTAAACTCACTAATAGTCTTTAATAAAATCGTGTTAAAAATATCTGGATTTAAAAAGAAACACTTAGAAAACCAACAATATCAACAGAAAACGCAATCGAAAAATCACTTGGATTAGCGATGAAATGGACATAAATCAAGAGTTTCAAAAATGATTACCAAAATACGAAATTCACGCATTGTTTTATGTTGTATTATTAATATTGTTTAAAATTCGCAGCGATAACCACCGATAAAAAAAAGAGAACGAAAACCTACATTGAGTTAATAAAAATTAGAAATTTTGAATCGCGCAAATACTTAAACGCGCAATTCAAAATTTCTAATTTTTATTTTCCCTAAATATTATAATAGCTTTTTTTTAATTCTGTTCAGGTGCTGCCGTGACAGAATGCTGCCTGAGGACCGCATGTAAGTAAAGTACAGGTTGTGGACCCTTAACACTGATAGAAAATATGTTAATATATGATAATGTGCATAAATTATTTACTGAAGTTTCAATAAAATAATCAGGACATACGTTAATATTTGCATAAAAATCATGTTCTCATGATATGGCTAATAAGATTTCACTCACAATGTTAGTTTTGAGGGTAAAATTTAATATTACTATGAATTTTAAGCGAAATAAACAAATAAAAATTATGGATACATACTCTGTGCATATGAGGTGGTTTTAAATAACTGCTAATTTGTGTGGTTCTAATCCAAGCACGAGAAACCTTTTCATCCAAAAATGTGACATGGTAGTACTGTAAATTATAATGATTTTTAAATATTTACAGTTAATATAGAAAAAAAAAAGAAATTCCATTATCCTGTTATATGCTTTGTAATATAATGTACTAGGAAATAGTTAAGCTTGGTTTAATTTAACTTGCAAGTACTGATTAATACCGACTAGGGCCCGTTCATAAATAATGACACATTTAAAATGGGGAGGGCATTTGACACATTTGATCCGTATGAACAATAGATAAATCTATAATGTATGTACGGCACGCAAAAAGAAAAGATCACCCTGAATAACTTTGATCTGATCAGATCTTCACATTCTAGGACTCAATTTTAATGGCTCGAGGGGGTAACCTCAAATATGCTAATTACTAAGTTGCAGACGATATTTTAAGTTACGAAATCAGACCCAAGAACTTACTTTCACTGAATAAACTGAACTTCTTTTTTTTTGTTGTTGTTGACAGAATCAGATTTCAGACCTTATAAATAGGGGGAAGCCGCAATCTAGAAAATATGGTGCCAATAGTTTGGTCAGGAGAGCGCTCCAAAGTTCGGACCCCTTCCTTAACCTTAATTTTATTTTTTGCGTATTTCGCTATATCTCGAAAACCTTTTAAGCGAATTTAAAAAATAATTTCACGCAATTATAAAATTCGTTTATCCACAGAATATTCCGTGCAAAAAATAACTTTTAATAAATATTGATATTTTATTTTAGAGTGTTTGAAAAAATTTTAATTGACAAGTAAGTTACATTTTTTGAAATTAAGCAAAAAATTGTACTACTTTACAAAGTTTTTTCGAACATTCTTAAATAAATAATAAGTATTTACCAACAGTTATTTTTTTAATGGAATTAGCTTTGGCTACACAAATTTTATAACTGTGTGGAAAATTTTTTTAATTCGCTTAAAGAGTTTTCAAGATATAGCGAAATACTCAAAAAATAAATCGCTCTCCTGACCAAACTATGGGGACCATATTTCCTAGATAGCGGCTACCCCCCATATTTTGAAGGTTAAAAATCCAAATATGCTTAAAAAAAAAGCTATGTTTATTCAGAGAAAGTACGTTTTTGTGCTTAATTTCGTAACTCAAAAATTTTATAAATTCATCTACACTTATTTAGCATATTTGAGGCCACCCCCTAGAGCTATTATGATTGAGTCCTAGAATGTGAAAATCAGATCATTACATCAAAATTTTTTCAGAGTGTCCGGTATTTTGATACTGTACATATATTGTTTATACATGCATACATTACTTATATACATAGGTACAATGCATCCGTACATATATTTTGCATAGAATTATTTTTTTATAAACAAATTTTATATTTTTATGCAAATTTTTTTTTAATTAGCTTAAAGGTTTCTTGAGATAAGTCGAAAAACGCAAAAAGTAAAATTAAAATTAACGGATGCAAACTTTGGATAGCTCTTCTGACTAAACTACGGGGGCCATATTTCCCCAGATTACGGCTACCCCCTATATTTTGGAGGTCAGAAATCCGAATCCGTTGAAAAAAAGGTTTAAAGGTCTGTTTACTCAGAGAAAGTACGTTGTTGTGTCTGATTTCGTAACTTAAAATATTGTCTGCCTTAAGTAATTAGCCTATTTGAGGTCACCCCCTCGAACCATTAAGAATGAGTCCTAGAACATGAAGAATGCGATCACTAAATCAAAAATTATTCAGGGTGGTCAGTTTTTCATGGCGCATGTTGTCATATATTTTGAACCCTTGCAATCATAGCTGCCAGTAATCATTTTTGTTGCGATTACTTGGAATCATGATTATAGCTGTAATCAAAATTTCAGTGAATTGTAATCTAGATTACAAGTAATTGGTTACTGTAATCGAAAAATGCAATCGGTTACATTTTTGCCCAACTCTGGTACACAACTAATCATTATGATTGTTTATGACCAATGTCATTAAAAAAGTTATAGTTCAAAATTATTATGCAAACATGTGTTTTGTGCCATAATTGCTAACCTATGATTACATAATATAACATTTAATGTGACAAGACGGAGAGTTAAGATGGAGGGAGATGTGTGACATTTCCTGACAAAAGGGTCCAAAATATTGAAGGAAAAAAAAAGACATTATTTAGCTAATCATTTTGAAACTGTTCTATTTCAGAAAATATTTTCTTCTGTTCGAAATAAAGAACTAATTAACTATTTTAAATTGAAGTTAAAATTAATGGAATAAGGTATCATTTCCTTGCCGTGTTTAGTACTGCTAAGCTGTAAGCTTAAAGAAGAACTTAAGATTGGAAGCTTATTTGATTCTAAGAATGCTTTCTTTCAACACCCGCCCAGTGTTACAGCTTAAATGTTTTTTTTTTTTTTCAACTTTTTTTTTCCTTCAAAAAAGTTAAAATGTTTATATTTAGAATTATTACCCACATAAATAAAATGACATATTTTATGCAGAATATATTTAAATGTATATCAAAATATTTGAGATTTTATTTAGTTGAGTAAATTTTAAATCTTTAAGTAAATACAATTATTTTTAATCCCGCAGCTAATATGTAATTAGATAACGAAAGATATTTTCCTTTAATTATCTTTTGAGCAATAAAGGTTTCATAAAACAGGTATTTAAATCACTAAATAAAGGGAACAATTTTTGTAACTAAATCTCTCCTTAGCTGATGTGAATAAGTTTTAAAATGAGAGAAAACATAACATACATTTTCACACTTTAAGTAAATGCTCTTTCAAATATTCAACTCTATTTTCAAATATATATTATTTTCCCCAGAAAACTATAAAAAACGCTACCAACTAATTTGAGAGGCATATTACATTTAAAAAAATTAATATCATACATCACTCTTTCTTTGACTCAAAAAAAATTCTTCAATGTCTGGATCTTCATCAACCATTGCGGGCCACCTAAAATCAAAATTATACAAATTAATTTCAACTTTTTTTTTAAAATTACATTACATAAATACAATACCAACGAGGCACAAATGCGTTATGGTATTTATAAATATAATTTGCAATTTTTTTTATTTATTATTATTTTTTTTTCTTTTGCTTTTAGTGGCAAAGGCTAATACTTTTCAACTATCACAAAAAGTCTCAATCTGGATTAAATATGTACTGTTGAATCTTTTGTTCTTTATATTCTTAATTAAAAAGGTTTCATAAAATGTCACTGTTAATTTATAAATCCAATGCCTGGAATAATTAAAGTGCCATCAAGTATCAATGACAATTTTTTTTCTTCAAAATATTTTTTGCTTTGATGAATAAAATTCACACTTTTTTTTAATAACATTGAATAGATAATTATTATTTTGAACATCATTTTGCAAGTTGGTTCCTAAATGAATTTGCAATTCAACCCATTTCGTATCACATTTCACTTTTTAAAGATACAATTACAAAAGCATTTTCTAAATAAAAAAATAACAAAAAAATTGCTAATTTGCATATATTTAAAAACATTTTTGAAACCGTACCTAAGATATAGTTTTATCTATTCGATTGAAATTGCTTACACTATATTTGAAATTCATGATCTTTTGAAGCATTTATTATAATTTACTAAATATAAAGCTTCTGTAATGATGAAGAGAGGTATCATATTATTGTCAAAAGAATAAATAATACAAAAAATAAACAAATAAAGAAATGTTTTGCACAGTAATGTAGCACACCGTTTCAATTATTAGTGAATTTTTTTCTTTAATGACAACAGAATAAAACACTAAAAAATTAATTTTGCTATTTTTAATGAGATGAAAGTAAGAGTGAGGAATGCATTATGCGAGAACTTACCAGGGGTATCCATCCAGTTTAGCCCAAACAAGTGATCCTGGGCAAAACTCTAAATAGTCTTCGTTTGTATCTTCTTCTGGATCTTCACAACTTCCTTCGATTCCATCATCTAAATAAAAGAAAAAGAAAATTTTTAAAATTAAGAAAAAAGTATGTTTTAAGACAATAAAAATTTTAAATTAATTAGCTTAGTTAAGAAAAAAAAACAGTGCAACAATTATGAGACAAATATGATGGCAACAAATATGAAACAATTTAAAAACCCTGATATTCCGGGTTCCTACCGGTAAAAAAATTTCGGGTAAAAAAATTTGTTTTTAAATTTCTTATAATTGAATAATCAAGTGAAAGAATGAAAGTAGTGCCAATTTTTAAAGTAGTTGTACAATTTTAGTGCCGATAAAAATGTATTAAATATGGAGACGAGCCGAAATTTAACATAATAAAACGCAAGAACTAAAATTTTGCTTTATAGAAATTCTTAATGAGCTATTATCAGTTTATTACCTGTTACTGATTTAATAGTAAATATGTTCAAAAACTCGAGTTAATAAAAGACTTATTCTTTTAATATAAGTTTTATAAAAAAAATTTTGATTAGTAACAAACATAAAAGCTAGCTATTATCAACTTACTATATCCTACTATGATTTAAGAGCCAATCTTTTCTTAATTTGAGATGAAATTTAATTATTTCTTTTAGAAAATATGAGAAGGTATCTATCTATAATCAATGGCGAGTAGCGATTTGTGAATGCTTGGGGCTAATTTTTTGATTTAATGTTCCTGTAAAAATTAGCAGAATCACTAAAGAGAATAAATTGGAAAAAAAAAGTTGTTTATTTTTTTTAAATCGAAACAAAAATGCATATTTGCTAAAACCAAAATTCATTCTTAAAAATCATTTTCATGTCGATATATGCCGTGTATGTCATGTCGATATATGCCTTTGCTTATTATTCGCAATAGGGTAGTCTAAAATTTATTAAATGTAATTTTCAAATTTTCGTGATCTAAAACCAAACCTAATTTGTCTGAGAAATACATTTTGTTTTTCATAAAAACTTTGCATAAGAGAAAGATTTACCAGTAAAAAACTCAATTTCATCAAAAATTACAAGCAAAAGATTTAAAATTTTAGCGTCTTTAATGGTCAAATGGATGCCCTTTTCACTGGATTATTACCCCTTTCCTGCCGGCACTTTACTGTCGATATATATGCATACGTCATTAAAATAGCAAGATAAGGATTAAAAAACAGATATAAAAATGGATAAAGATATCTAAATAGTGCTCAGCGTACTGTGCTACACAAAACTTATCGAGGAACAAAATGCAATATTTTATTAAAAAATTATATAGAATTCTGTTTTGAAAATTTTCACTGCTAATTTTAAATAGCTTAAACACATTCAAAACATTTTATTTATATTCGTTTCTAAATTTCCATTGAAAAACAAAACTCTTAAAAATTATTAACTTGGCCTTGTTTTCACCTACTTAAGTTACTTATATTTTTTTTTTTAATCTTAAATTAAAAAGAGTAATTTTTTTAACATGCTTAGCTCTAAATTTCATAATCAATGCTAACAACCATTTTATTTTCTTGATTATTTAAATTTATTGGTTATCAGATTATAGTGTTTTATATTTTAAATGCCCAACGTTCCTACATAAGTCTTAAAAATTTTAATCCAAGAAATGTTTTTTTGTAAAAAGTGCTAACGATAATTTTAGTTTTTGGATCATTTAAATTAATTGGTTATCAAATTATAGTTTTTGATATTTTGATAAATTTTACTGTTATATTGCAGTTTACAATGTTGTATTAACACTCATGAATACTACTCCTTCAGCTTCATAATAAGATAACAAATTTTGCTTACCGGATTTGTTCATTGAACAATGCCATAAATCTGGAACTTCATGAGATTCAGAAAATTGGAAAGATTTTCTCCATTTCTTACACTTGGTGCATTCAATCCATAAGCCAAAATTTTTATTAGAGTAGATATCATTCCAAAACAGATGTCTATCTCTTGTAGTCTCTCTTTTCGTTGTTTTGATTTTCCTTTTTCCATTAGAATCTATATCAAAAATATATTTCTTTTGTGGTTAAAATTAAATTCATTGCTTATTTACAGTCTTTTACAAATTGAAGCCAACACTTCATACTGATTTCGTTAATTACAAAATATATAGGGTTTAATTTAGTAGCTTAGATGTTAGATAGATTTATTATTTCGATTATCAATGCAAATTCTTTTTATTTTCCTTTAATGTTTTCTTTTTTCTTCTTCTTTTTTATGGGTCTGAGGAGAAGAGAGATTGCGAAAGTGGAGAGAAACATGGGAATGTAAAGCATTGAATTTGTACTGATGGACGAACTAGACGCCGAAGCCTGTTTGTGACTTTTCCTGGACTCACGAAGCAGCAAGTGAACGAACTGCTTCTCCTCTGGATCAAAGCATTGCATTTTGTCTTTGTACGAGTATTATTTTAAAGAGCCATATAGCAGTTCCGTAAATAATTTTTATCCTTGAAGGTCAAAATTAAACACCAGTGCCATGGATAGAGGCAATACTGTCTAGTTTACGTTGAATTACAAAGGTGTGACTTTTTGTAGGAAGTACTGGCAGTCCCAGGCAGTTAGTGTTGTTATAAATCCTTACTTTTTTTTGTATTATTGTCTTTAAACAAGATTTCATTTCAGTGTAATTAAAATAGTAATTATCAAAACATTGTTAAATAAATTTACAAAACATAATTGATTCCCAAAAATAAATTATTTTAGGAATGTATAATAGCACTTATGTTTAATACTATTTACTTTTTCCTTCGGATTATATTCTGATATATATGAAAGAACTGCATTTTTTCTCTGTTTTTTAGTACCTGTTTTATAGTGGAAAGTTTATTGATTTACTTTTTATCCATGCATTTTTTAAGACTGTAAAATGAATATAATTCAAAGTATTTACTCCATACCATCATTTAATTTACTTTCTGGAGTCATATATATGAATGTTAGAAAGTGTAAATGTGCAAGAGTAAAAATGCTTACATTGCTAATATTCAGTACGACTACATTTATTATGACAGATTTACATGAACAGAGATTTTCTATAGATATTTCTAAACGCAATAAAAAAATTACAAAGAAATAAATGGTTTTACATAAAACGTAGTATTTAAAAATGTTGCATATTTTTTAAAAATAATTTTAAGATTCAAATAAACCAATTTTTATCAACTTCAATACAGTTTCTGGTAATATTCGATAATAAACTTGAAATTATTCACCCTCTCAAATGAAAAATTGAATTTCAAAGGAAAAAAAACTAATTCCCACGAACTTTTTGTTTTATTATTACAACTAAATCTCTCTGAACCTAAATTGTTATCAACGCTCATTCATTATAATGCTCAAATTTTATAATTTTCTTTTAAACTTTAAGGATAAGCTTGAAGAGGCATTCAACCATTTCTGGGAATAGGAATTTTCGAATAATTAAAGTCAATGCATTAATAAAAAAAATTATAAGCCAGGTACAGTTTTTTAATAAATAATATGAAACTTTTTGGTGAATAATGGATAATAATATTTAATAAAATATTTACTTACAAAACTCAGATCTACTTAAGGACGGCATCTGAAACCCAATACAAAGAAAAATATAAGTGAATTATCCGAAAATACATACTTAAACTTAAAAATAAAAAAAAACATTTATCACGAAACATCACAAACATGTAAGAAATAATACCATGAAATTTTTTAAAAAAGGAAAATTTTCAAAGACACATTTCATAATATTTGCACAATGCCCAAAAAATAAACCCATTTACATACAGAGTTATATTGAATAGTAAAGATTAGAAAACATAGAATTAGAATGTTTTTAGCAGTAGGTATTCAAATTTCAATGCGGTGCTTTTCTTTTAAAATAATGATTAGTGACAGGCGTGTAATGTAATAATGAGATGGCTTCATCTTTTTTAAACAATCCTTTCAGAAAAATAAAAGTTGATCACACCAAGTACAATAGTAGGATGAGTGATTGAATATTTTTAGAATAGTTATTACATACTTTTTTGCTTGCTTTATCTTCTTAAAAATCATCAAGCATTATTTCGTTTTCTGATACTTTCGTTTCGTAGTACAATTGAATGATTTAGTTAGTAACTTTAGAAAATATTTACTTTGAGATTAACTTGTTTTATTGCACTCCTATTAAGTAACTTATTAAGTAACGTACTCGTAACGTATTAAGTAACGTACTCGTAATTATTTTTTACTTGTTTTATTACATTCGTATAAAGCGCCAATAAGTAAATTAATAAATAAATGAACGCAAATGACATAGTTAAAAATTTTTTTGATAATTTTTAAATTCCTCTCTTAGAAATTTCAATATCAAATTCGTAACATTTTTTTTTAATTCTTTCTTTAAAAGTACATGTATTTATTTTCAAATGAGACTATAACTCGTGACTGAGTTGGGTCTTTTATTTGTTGCTGATTTTGACTTGATGGTCAAATGCTTTATAATTAAAACAGCTTTTGAATCTTCTTTTACATTTGCTTAAGGACCGTAACACCTCTCCACCAATATCAACTATAAGATGATCTTCATCGTAAAAAAATTAGTTTCAAAACGAATCAAAACATTTTTTTGCAATAAAGAGGTTTAGCTACAAACATATTGTAAGAATATCAGTAAAACTTCGGTGATGTGATAGATTTTTATTTTTTATACGTTCTTTACTTAGTTTGGACTAGAGTTGTAGTCTTCCAAAAATTATAAATATCTATTTTAGCATTTATATTTTCTATTTTTAGTAATTATTTAAAAATACACATTTTTGGGATAAAAACTGAAAAAAAAAGTTAAATAAATCATTGGAACAGAGAAAGAGAAAAAAAATAGAACGAACTGGTTTAGAAACCAGTAGAAGATCAGACTATCTCCGCTGATGAAGGATGTATTATTCTATTATGTATTTTTTGTAAGGAAATACGTCCTTATAACAGGATATTTAGCTACAACATCGACGCCCGGTGGCTGAGTGGCTTTATCTCGTTCTATCCACGGACCGGGCAAAGTCGATAAAATCAGTACCAAGAGTGCTTGAAAACTAAACATTGGGGATTCCACGTGCGGCTGACATCCGTACCGAAGCCCCCCAGGACCCACACATGGCTGACATTTCAGTCAATGAGTTTCCGATGTTTTCTATCTTCTCATTTGGAGCCGCGATGGCTCAGAGGATAAAGCGTTCGCCTTCCAATGACACGAACCAGGTTCGAATCCCAGTTGATACGAATTCCGTATCCGGCTTGCACCGACCACGGTGCTGACGTGAAGTATCCTCAGTGGTAGACGGATCATGGGGATCGTGAGACGGTCATCCCCTTGCCGTCAGACTAACCGTGGGAGGTTCTCGTGGTCTTCCTCTCCATGTAGAGTTAGCTTCATCAAAAAGTCCTCACGAAGGCAAATTTCTCCCAATGCTCGATCCAGGAGTTCCCTTGTCTTCTGGATTGGGTTCAAAATTACAAGGCTACGGAGTTGAACATTAGTAGTCGTAAACCCATAAAATTGGGTCGGCTGTTCAACGACGGTTATAATTATAATATCTTCTCATTTCATTTTATAACTGTCGTTGAACTGCCGACCCAATTTTTGGGTTTACGACTACTAATGTTCAACTCCGTAGCTTGTAATTTTAAACCCAAACCAGAACACAGGGGAACTCTTGGTATACAATCTTAAGCCCAAAGTCAAGAAAACTGGGTTCCTCTTGCTTGGGCTGTCGCACAGCGTAGCTAAACTTAATTCAGCGCTTCCTAATTTTTTTGGCTAAGGAACCCTGAATAATTAAACAGTTTTCGGCGGAACCCAGACATCGTGATCGTATTAATAAATACTATTTTAATTTGAAATTGTTTAGTAGGAGGAATGTTCACGTAAAATATCCTCAGTGGTTGATGGATCATGCGTTAGAGTCCCCTTGTCGTCAGGCTAACTGTGGGAGGTTTTCGTAGTTGTCCACTCCACATGACGCAAATGAGGGTTAGTTCCCTCAAAAAGTCCAACACTAAGGCAAATTTCTTCTAATACTTGACTCCAAAGTTCTGTTGTCTTCTGGAATGGGTTCAAAATTACAAGCCTACGGAGCTGAACATTAGTAGCCGTAAACCCATAATTGGGTCTGCTGTTCAACTACGGTTATTAAATAAAAATAAAGCAATAGAGCCGAGATGGCTCAGGCAGGAGATAAAGCGTTCGCCTCACAATGAGGTGATCCAGGTTCGAATCACTACGGTGGCTGGTTTATACAAATTCTACTGCCGGCTGACTACAGGGCTGATGTTAAATAACCTCAGTGGTAGACAAATCATGAGTTAGAATCCCCTTGCCACTAGGCTAACCGTGGGAGGTATTCGTCGTTCTCCTCTCTGTGTAACACAATTACGAGTTAGTTCCATAAAAAAATCCTCCACACAGACTAGTTTATTATATTGGTTAATCCAAAAGTTCCCTTGTCTTCTGGGTTGGGTTCAAAATTGCACGGAGTCGAACATTGATAATCGTAAACTTAGAATTGGGTCAGCTGTTCAACACCAATTATAAAAGAAGTAAAATAGAAAGAGGAATGATTTTTTGTTCATTTTTTGTTTTCAGCATCACTAACAATCTTAAATTAGATAGTATTATGTTTGATACTAAATTCGTAGCCCTAGAGTTAACCAAGTCCTGGAGCTAAAATAAGACGAATTATGATTTTCTTTGAAATGATAAAACTAAACTAAAATGCTTTAAACGTTGAAAATGGTTAATAAGGGAAACATATTTCTTTATTTTCGAATTTAGTTTTTGTTTTGTTTGAAAAGCCCGAGGGAAAATAGTAATGCAATTCTTTAGTAAATGTATGGCCCTTTCCATAAGTTATTCTATATATTGATGTAAGAAAAATCATATCTGGTTTTTAATTAAAAAAAGGCCTCTTTTTCCATTTGACATTTAATTTTAAATAATATCTTAAAGGCAACCGAAATATTAAAGAAATAGTGGATTATTGACAGGATTTAAATAGAATTAACATGAGGGAAATTAACTATCGACTATGTCAACCATCATCCATCAAAAGGTACCTCTATAAAGAATCAAGTTAACATGTATTACATACTTTGTGAATTGGTATTTAATATTTATAATGGTAGTTATGCCACAAACAGTTTCAAAATCATTACTTAGATTTAAAAAAGTCTTAATTCTTGGAACCCCTGTAACTCTCCCAGGGAACCCTTGAGTTTCGTAGAATGGCATTAGGGATCCGTTGGTTTAGTTAACTTACTCCACAAAGGCTGTTGAAATATTGCGTAAGCTTTTTTTTCTATTGTTGATTTTAGAACCTCTCCTTGTTGTCTAACTTTATTTGCATATAAAAGCAAATCGCTAATNAAAAAGAAAACTACATCGACACCCAGTGAGTGAGTGGCTTTATCTTGTTCTATCCACGGACCGGGCAAGGTCGATAAAATCAGTACCAAGAGTGCTTGAAAACTTGGGGATTATTGACATTGCTTGACATTGGGGATTCCGCGTGCGACTGACATCCGTACCGAAGCCCCCAGGACCCACATGGCTGGCACTTTAGTCAACGAGTTTCCGATGTTTTCTATCTCCTCATTTGGAGCCGCGATGGCTCAGGGGATAGAGCGTTCGCCTTCCAATGAGACGAACCGGGTTCGAATCCCAGTCGATACAAATTCCGCATCCGGCTTGTACCGACCAAAGTGGTGACGTGAAGTATCCTCAGTGGTAGACGAATCATGGGGATCATGAGACGGTCAAACCTTTACCCTCAGGCTAACCGTGGGAGGTTCTCGTGGTCTTCCTCTCCATGTAACGCAAATGCGAGTTAGCTTCATCAAAAAGTCCTCACGAAGGCAAATTTCTCCCAATGCTCCAGCTAGGAGTTCTCTTGTCTTCTGGATTGGGTTCAAAATTACAAGGCTACGGAGTTGAATATTAGTAGTCGTAAACCCATAAAATTGGGTCGGCTGTTCAACGACGGTTATAATTATAATATCTTCTCATTTCATTATATAACCGTCGTTGAACTGCCGACCCTATTTTTGGGTTTACGACTACTAATGTTCAACTCCGTAGCCTTGTAATTTTAAACCCAAACCAGAACACAGGGGAACTCTTAGTATACAATCTTAAGTTCAAAGTCAAGAAAACTGGGTTCCTCTTGCTTGGGCTGTCGCACAATGTAGCTAAACTTAATTCAGCGCTTCCTAATTTTTTGGCTAAGGAACCCTAAATAATCAAACATCTTTCGGCGGAACCCGGACATCGTGATCGTATTAATAAATACTATTTTAATTTGAAATTGTTTAATAGGAGGAATGTGTTTACGTAAAATATCCTCAGTGGTTGACGGATTATGAGTCTGAGTCCCCTGTGGGAGATTTTCGTAGTTTTCCACTCCATGTGACGCAAATGAGGGTTAGTTCCATCAAAAAGTCCAACACTAAGGTAAATTTCTTCTAATACTTGACTCCAAAGTTCTGTTGTCTTCTGGATTGGATTCAAAATTACAAGGCTACGGAGCTAAACATTAGTAGCCGTAAACCCAAAATTAGACGGCTGTTAAACTACGGTTATAAAATAAAAATAAAGCAATGGAGCCGAGGTGGCTCAGAAGATAAAGCGTTCGCCTCACAATGAGGTGATCCAGGTTCGAATCACTACGGTGACTGGTTTATACAAATTCTACTGCCGGCTGACTACAGTGCTGATGTAAAATAACCTCATGAGTTAGAATCCCCTTGCCACTAGGCTAACCGTGGGAGATTTTCGTCGTTTTCCTCTCTGTGTAACGCAATTACGAGTTAGTTCCATCAAGAAATTCTCCACACAGACTAGTTTATTCTAATGGTAGATCCAAAAGTTCCCTTGTCTTCTGGGTTGGGTTCAAAATTGCAAGGACTTGAACATTGATAATCGTAAACTCAGAATGTGTTCAACACCAGTTATAAAAGAAGTAAAATAGAAAGAGGAATGATTTTTTTGTTAATTTTTTGTTTTCATCATCATTAACAATCTTAAATTAGATATTACGTTAGATACTAAATTCGTAGCCCTAGAGTTAACTAAAACCTGGAGCTAAAATAAGACGAATTATAATTTTCTTTGAAATGATAAAACTAAACAAAAATGCTCTAAACGTTGAAAATGGTTCTTAAGGGAAACGTATTTCTTTATTTTCGAATTTAGTTTTTTGTTTCGTTTGAAAAGTCCGAGGGAAAATACTAATGCAATTCTTTTGTAAATGTATGCCCTTTCCATAAGTTATTCAATGTATTGATGTAAGAAAAATCATATCTGGTTATTTATTTTTTTTATCAAAAAAAAGGGCCTTTTTTCCCCTTTGGCATTTATTTTTGAATAATATCTTAAAGGCAACCGAAATATTAAAGAAATAGTAGATTAATGACAGGATTTAAATAGAATTAACATGAGAGAAATTAATTATCGACTATGTCAACCATCATCCATCAAAAGGTACCTCTATAAGGAATCAAGTTAACATGTATTACATACTTGTGAATTGGTATTTAATATTTATAATGGTAGTTATGCCACAAACAGTTTCAAAATCATTACTTAGATTTAAAAAAGTCTTAAGTCTTGGAACCCCTTTAACTCTCCCAGGGAACCCTTGAGTTTCGTAGAATAGCATTAGGGATCCGTTGGTTTAGTTAACTTACTCCACAGAGGCTGTTGAAGTATTGCGTAAGCTTTTTTTTGTCTATTGTTGATTTTAGAACCTCTCCTTGTTGTCTCACTTTATTTGCATATAAAAGCAAATCGCTAATTCGAATTTCTTGATTATTTAATATTTTCGCTTATTTTTTTTAAATAAAGTAGCTTTGAATGAAATTTATTAATCTTTGCAATTTGTTTTTCGATAAAAGAATGTTGATTTGTCATGCATGTATTCCTCATACTTCTTCATAGTCATGCGCAAGCCCCACTCCTGTTTTATTCCTATATAATTTCTGAACGTTGATTTTATTAAGTAGAATACTCAATGAAACGAGTTCGAATTTCATGCACTATCTGACGTGTTGTATGTATTAGCTGACTCTGCGTGCGAAATTTGACTTCGACTGCTTTAATTAAAAAAAAAATGTGTTTTCGAAATTTTGATACTAATAATTGCAGATTTGTAAAATTACATAATTTCAAAACAATAAAACTATGAAATTGATGTAAGCAAATATTAAGAAAAAAACTTTTAAAATAATAAGTCAAAATGTAAAAGCGTTAAAACCAAATTTGTCTTTTGTAAACAATTTAAATAAAAAGTTGGAAACTAAAAGCATCACTTCTTCAAGGGACAAGCTGTCTGCTAACATACTGGAGCCTTTCTGTAGTCAGTGGTTAAACCAAAAACTGACAGTGCCCAGAGACAAGCCCGTATTAAGCGTACGCGGGGCCCTAGGTCATTCAAATTTTTGGGGCCCTTCGATTAAGTTGTTTTTCTCGTATATTTTTTGTTTATTCAATTATAAAAGTAATTATCTTTTCATTTAAGAAAGCATATTTAAAATAAAAATGAATATTAATAAATTAAATTTTACTTCATTTTGTTAAATTAGAACTAAAAATAATCATAACATTTAAAAAAAAATTGAATATATATTTGGAATTGATTTTTTTAAAAAAAAAATCACTGTTTTTCTTAATTTTTTTAAAATTTATTTTCAAAAAAACCATTTTAAGGGGGCCCCAGGCCATGGCTTAGTCTGGCCTAATGGGTAATCCGGCACTGATTATCTTCCTCGGCTACATTAAAGGTGCTGCATATTAGGCCCCTTTCCTCTACAATAAAATACAATTTTAATAGTAGGAGGGAATGTTAAGTAATTAGAAAATACGGTATTTTAAATTACGATATGAAATATAAACAACTTACTTTAAATATATTTTTTGATAGACTTGGACTTTTTGACTAAGAATAATGGTTGTGGGCTTAATTTGGAAAATATGATCCCAAAAGTTTAATCAGAAAAGCGGTAAATTGTTGCAACATTTTCATTTAAGTTTTTTCATTTTTCGCCGTACCTCTAAAACTAAGTGAATTAATATANAAGATTTTTATGATGTAAAAGGAATTCTTAAAGAATATGCTTGCTCAATTTTTCAAGAAATCGTGCAACACTATTCCCAAAATGATCCATGAGTTTTTATAGTTCAGTTATAACTTCAAAAGATTTGATCCATTAGGTAGTTTTTTAAAAAAGAAACCTATTTAAGAATTTAAAATTATATGAGATTTCGATCACGAAGAGCGTTGATCAGATATTTGAAAAGGATAAAAACCGTTCCATTATTATGAGTAAATTGAGGAACAAATTATTTTAAAAACATCGCGTTGAACTTCAAGTGAAAATAATAACATATCAATAAAAATACAATTTCAGATAATATTCTAATAGAAATGAAAAAATGTGCTTACCTCAGCAACGAAAATATCATAGGTTAAGAATTTTTAGAAATTATAAAAGCGAGGAGAAAATAAAAAGGAGTAGTTAATAATTCGAAGACAGCAATGCTTTTGATTTCAATTATTCAGAAGAAAAAAATTATCGTTTGCATATTAAACATGCAAATATTTATCGTTTGCAGTTTATTCGAACAAAAGCATATGACAACTAATGTGAATACTTTATAAGAAATATCGCGATGTCAACTCTTAAATACGCCCTCTAGTGGAGTAGATATTTTCAGGCTACCATTTATTAAGTTTTCATTTAGTTCTTCAGAATCATTGGTAGAGTAGGACTTTTTTTTTCAGCACCAAAATTTCTCAAACGAAAAGGAAGAAAAACTGGAAAAAAATGACCCAGAATATTGAAAAGTCATTCTGAAACAAAACGCGCCCAACATTTGAAGCACAATTTCTCAATATTTCTTTCCGTTCCCATTATCAACAAACTTGTGATAATAAGAAAATAAGATACAATTTTTCTTTTGTTTATTAACATATATTTTTCCAATGTGTTTTGGATGTACCTTCTCTAAAAATAAAAAGCGATTCCATATTATATTCGCAAGCATATGAAAAAATATCCAGCATTTTTCTTTTTTAAATTTAATTAGCCATACTAAAGAAAGAACGTTACCATGCTACACTGATGAAACATCCATTGCAACTGATGATCGTGTTGTTCTGCTAACAGTCATTTGTCTCAAATAAAAACGCCTTCTGTAAATCGTTGCGTTAGAGAATTTTATAGATGTCATATTTTTTTAAATCGTTTTCATGAACATCGTTTCCTAGAAATTTCATGAACGAAAGGTTTTTTGTAAAAGTATTTCCTGTATAATTGCAAGGGTCCTGTATATTTTTTAATGAAAGTAACTCGCATTTGTGTTCCACGTGGATCGGGAAATCCGCGAAAACCTTCCACGATTACCATGACAGCAAGGGGACTCTAGCATTTAATCCGCAGACCACTGAGGATATTTTCCGTCAGTACTGTGGTCAGTGCAAGACGGGTACGGAATTCAAGTCTGCCAGTCACGGCTGGGATTCGAACCCGGTTCACCTCATAGGAAGGCTAATGCTTTATCCTCTGAGCCACCACGGCTTAAGAAATACAAATTGGCCCAAAACCATGCTGAAATTTTGTTTTTGTGGTATTTCGTTTTACATTAGGTTACTGACAGTTGAAAACTGTACCTGAAACTGCCTAAGATAAGTCACTACTCTAATGTCATTTTAATGTAGAAAAATCACCAAAACAAAACATATGTCGTTTTTACATTAAGTCGCCAAAAAGGGTGACTTTCGCCTACTTTATTTACAAAATTTTATTATTTCATTTATTTTTTAAAAAATGGACGCTGTCAAAAAAAATAGAATAAAAAAGTAAGGAAAAAAATCATTTATTTGCGACCGGATGACCAAACAGTACACGTAAGGCTTTTTTTTCTTTCTTCTTTTTGCGTGGAATGAATTATTTTCACATTAAATTTTAAAATATCATAAATTTGCTTATCGTCAATTATTGGCTCAAAATTAATGGAACAGTTGCTAGATTTCAAGCACCTGGTTTAAGGTTTCAAACCAAGGGGATAAGTCCCACAACCACCACAATAAATTTACGGTGATAAAAACATTCCAAAAACGTAAACATTTTCAGAGTGCAAAAATTTGATTATAGGTAGCGTGCACATTAATAACGTTTTACGCAATTTTTTTTTTTTTTTTTTAATTATTCTATTGCAGTTGCACTGCTATTGTAATGGAATGCTGCAATTTCGGTTTGATCTCTGCAGCACTATTGTATTATTATTTTAGCTGTTGTATATTTTTTCATTTAATAAGCTTATCATTTAATACGTTTATGGGAACAAATATACTTATCAATCGCTTCTTTTTTAAAATAAATAAATAAAAAAAAAGTGTGTACAGTTACAAACGAAAAAAAAAAAAAGAATCCTTGTCTATTGCCATGTTTTTAGGTCATACATAAATGATATGTCACACTTTTACATTATTTTTGCTCACCTCCCCTTTGTCATGAGGTGTTCCGCTTCATCTTATTACCTCTTCTCATGCAATGCTAGATTAATTAACATATTATGCTCTAGCAGTCCAAAGACAAAACACGTGCAATAGATCATATTTCAAACTTTATTTTTAAACCTTATGATATTGATGAGCATTAACAACAACGGTTAGACGTGTGCTTATTTTGATGAAACTAATAAATACATAACACATAAAAACTAATTACTTAATCTGCTGGTTTTAAATATTTTTATTTTAATTAAAAGGTGTTATGTCACATTTCTTGGTACCCCTCCCCTCCAAGTGTGACATAATTGATGGCACTTATACATTCATTATCATTTTCATAAAGAAAACTAAAGACGGAGTGGGTAATAATAAATTTTGGCTTTCAAAATACTTAATTAAAATATTCATTTTCATTTATTTTCTAGCAATTATAATCGTCTCGTTGAAATAAAAATATATGTTTTTGGAATTTTACTTTTAAATGGCAAGCATACAATCATGCCCTTTGTGATAACTAATATTTCAAATGAAGCTTCTTTTCCTTTTGTAGCTTTATTTGGGTGATTGAAAACTTAAATATTTAATTGTAACAGGAATTAACTCGCAAACATATTTATTTATGCATTAAAAGAATTAAAAAATACGTTTATGATAGCGGTAATATTTAGTTGACTTCTAAATATTTTAAATTACAAGGGCAAAATTACTTTAAATTCTGCAATAAAGAAAAATTTACAATAATTGTTAAATATTTTCTGCGCCTGAGCGACAATCCTTATTATGACGTCACATACTTAATTCAAGAATTAAGTCGTTTGTAGCGGCGTAAATACCGCTAGAATTATGAAACATCAAATCAATAGTTTATAAAACATGTTAACACCATTCAATATTAGAGTAATTTCTGATAGTAGTAGACATTGTCGATTAAACCTTAACCATCTTTGTTTTATGACATGCTATGAAAATAAACGAACGTCACACTTATGATGTTTGTGGCATTGATACTTTTATTTAAATATAATATACAGATAGAATATGGATGGAATATCTATTTAGTGATCTCACATGATTTCATTAGTTTAAAAAACAAATGTTTTGTTTATCGAACTCTCAGAAACAGAAATTTTGCAAATTCAAGAATGCATATGCAGTTGTAGAATTAATTAATAAAACTTCCTATTTTGACTAACTATAATGGCACAAATTACGCTACACGTAGAAATTATATGAATAGTTTGTTCACTTAAAATCCTATTTACATACCTTAAAAATAAATTTTATGCTCAGGACGTATAGAAATTTGTATAATTCAAACATTATTAAAACAAATTTAAAAGATAATTCAAATATTCTTATATAACTTTTAGTAAGAATTGTAAGGAGAAAGAAAATTATTGAAGCGAAAATTACTTTTCGTGATTGAAACTTGAGAGTTAGAAATGAATTTACAAAAATTAAAAGTGGAAATAGACACCATTTTTGTATTAAAATTTAGTAAATAAAAATTACAATGCTGCATTGAACTTATCCAATAAAAAAACTATCTTCATGAATTTCATTTATGACTTAGTGTGGCATGTTATTTATTTACATGAAATTCGAATTAAAAAAGCAATAAAATTTCAAAAAAGTACCAATCTACTAATTTTTTAGTACACAATGTATTCATATTTTTTCTGCTCATGTCATCGTTTTCTTTAAAGTTTTTCATCTTTTAAGTTTCATCAAATAAATTAAATCAGTTAAAGCTTCAAATTTCTTCAATTACATTTTTTTTCCATAGCACCTGTTTCACTTGATTACATTATTTGAAAGACATAAATTTTGATTTCGCCCCATAATCAAAATGGCATGCTTAGTGTTTTAATGATCTTGGGCGAAGCATTTTATCAGAGTAGATCAAAATCATGTTTTATTTAGAAGTTAATGGTATTAGGAATTTTTTTTTTTTTTCAAATTTTATTTCAATCATTTTTTGAAAAAATATTTTCTTATTTAATAATCAAAACGCTGATAAAATTAATAAATAATACTTAATATTATTTAATGCAACTAAAAATTTTTACATCACCAATAACAAAAAATTATTATTTAATTATAGTTAACTAATTACTAAATAAATTAAGTCAGTTACTTTTTTCTTTCTAACTCAAAATCTTAATCAATTGACAATTACAATCAACTTTTCAAATGAAAAGTAAATTAATTTAGACCAGACAACATTTTTAAATTAAATTATTTTTGGCAGAACAAGTCTTGATTTCTTAATTAAAAGCATATTCATGACATATTTAATAATATTTAAAATTACTTGCATTAAAATCTTGCATCTTTGACAGAAAAAAAATTCTTACTTCGGTTTTTTAATTTATTAACCTATTCCTCATTTTAAGAATAAAAGATTTATTATGAATAAGATTTGGTAGTTTATTATTATCACAGCCTTAAGTATAAATATATTAGATAATGCAGTACTGTATAAATAATATTTCTATAATTTAATAAATCATAATGAATCATAAAAATCAATGATTTTATTTTAAATAAAATGTTTTTTAATCATGCCAACACCGCTTTTTATTTTCCTTGACATTATTAACAGCAGTTCTTAGGGATTGCACTCACACAAGGGCAATAATTGAAATTTTTAATGTAATTAATTTCTATGACATCAAAATTGAATCCATGTTATTTTAAAAATTACCTTTCTGATAAAGAGGATCATTAACTGAAAAGAAATTAGACACACTTGGGAATATAGATTAAAATTATTCGTAATACTATTTCCTAGTAATAGGAAAATATATCAAAGATTTAGCAAGGGAAAAATAATAATATTGCTTACAAATACAAGTTAATTACAATTCAATTTTTCTAGCTTAGTGAACAGCAAAATTGTCTATTAAAACAGAAAAATCAAAAAAAGTTGATGGATAATTTTCAATAGTAATGAGTGCCAAAGATGAAAGACAGGCATCATTGATCTCAAACGTTTTTATAACTTACAATTTTCAAACGTTCTGGAGCAGTTGAGTGGTTACAGAACAAGAATTCTTAAACAAATTTAAAAAATTTGGTTCAGCATTAGTAAAATAGCTTTTGTATTGTAAGGTTGTTTTACAACAGTATTCACTGTCCTTTTGGGAGCTAGAAACCTTGATTAACAGTAACTAAATAGCAAGATGAGTGCAGAGCAATGTCTTCTTCACAACCCCCAATGAATAGACTTATTAATTTGCTTACACATGCCACAATAACTAGCTATAAAATAAATAACCTTTTCTACTGGGAAAGAGATAGAAGTAGGAGTGTATTTTATAAAGAGATAAAATTTTCTCTATGTGTCAAGAAGTAACGGGAGAAAAAATTAAAAAACTTTAAAGGCACTGCGCGACCGCCTATCCCTAAACTCGACCGGATCAAAATCTTCACAGCATTTTTTTCACCATTTCATATTTTTGTATCCAAACTTTTAATAAAGATTGTCATTTTTAGTAAACAATGCTAGCTATAAACTCCTTTTCCTCAGGTATTGAACCAGTTTTTACATGTTGCAACACCACACATTGGATGGATGGTTATATAAATTGGGTAATCATAAATGGAACTTTTTATCTTGTTTTAAATTACTACAAGAATCACGAAAGCTACAAAAAAGCATTTATATTCGAGAAAAATAAAATATATAGAGAAAATAACAGTAAATGTAAAGGATCTAACTAAGTAAGGAGGAGCGTAACAAACTCACTCCCCTCCTTTATGAGAAAATCCATAGAGCATATTTTTATTACTTAAATTATTTCAAACAGATTTTAAGACTAATAAAAAAAAAAAATTTTTTTTTTGTTCTGAAAGAATGTTTTGTTAATTTTAGCAATGGATCTGATTCAAAAATAATTTTTAACATCATCAGAATTACATTTAATATATAATTAATTTGACACAAAAATTAACCCATTTAATTATGTTTTATAAAGGAAAATAACTACTTAAGTCAAGTTAGAAAATTCCGACAAATCTTGGTACTTCGTTTTAAATAAATTCTTCGACTATTTTACATTTGATTAAATTTTGCCTATTTCTTCTGGGTTTTCAGTTTCTTCTACAGTCCGGACCGAACTGAACATCCAATGATGGTTTAAAGCCCAACCAACGTCACATCTACAAGCTTGTATCTGTCGCATTTTGTGCAATGCTACAGAATTGTGGTACCTTAACCTCAATGACCCCCCTTGTCAACAACAAGATGGTGTGGGAATGCTTCTATTTTTGAAGATCTTACTTCAGAATTTCACTAAAAAATATTACTATTTAGATTTATGATATCGTAAATGAACACCATAGTTAAGAAACTCATTTGGTTACTGCAAGAATGTAGGGCAAAAATATACAAGTTATAACAATTTATTGAGCTCAAACCAAATAAAATACAAGAGTATTAAAGGAAATAATGTTATTGCAAATAAATGAACAATTTCTAGAGATATTTCAAGATAAAATTAACAACAAACATCAATAAAACAGCTTATTATAATATAATGTATGCATATATTCTTTAACCATATACAGAAAAATATAAAATATTTAATTTAACATAAAATAAAGATGTTTTCACAAAACTTATGCAATAAATTCAAATGAGAATTTATGCCCCAATATAAACAAAATATGTAAATGACTAAAACATGCAGTTTAATATTATAAGAATAGAAAACTTTTATATGGATAAACATTTCCATTTTTTATATTGTAGTAAAAATAATACAATTTAGATTAACAAAAGTTGTAATAAGTTAATATACAAGCAAGGAAATGGAATTTTAAATAAAATAATCATAACATTATAATTAAAATATACTCAAACACAAATATCCAGTTCCAAATAAATTACAAGCAGTATAAAAATAAATACTCTAAATAAGAGAATAAACTCTAATATAAATAATCTAATAAAGAAATCTCAGAGATAATTCATTTTGAAAGAAAAATTTTAAGTAAGCATATAGCGGTTTTTGCTGCATGTGTAAATTTACGATAAATTTCCGTATTTTTAAAATCATTATCGATAAGTTTAGTCAATTCAACAACAATAAGTTCAGTAGATTCTTCAGATTCAGCTTGAGTTTGTTGTTGATATAGTTCTTGAACTTCATATGTACTTAAAGAGCACCTAAAATAATATATAAAACTGTTGTCAAACAGTAAGATGAAAACGTTGCTAAGTAAGAATAAAATAAGGGGTAAATATAAATTAGTAAGTCGCAAATAACTTTATAAAAAACTTTAAAAACTATTTTCTAAAAATTATTATTATAATGAATGTTTTGGTGGGTGTTTAGATGCACAAAAAATTAGGCTTAAATCTGACCTCGAGACCAGAAAACCATTCTAATAATTCAAATTCAAGGAAAAAAAATCCTTAAAATAGTTCAAATATAATTTTTTTTCTTTAACAAAAATTTTAATTGGTGGATTTTTTGTAAAAAATCTAGGTAGAAATTTTTTTTTAAATTCTTTATGGAGGATTTTATCAAAATTGGATCTTCAAGAGATCTTGCTATGACAGTATCAAAATGTATCATAATAGGAAAAAGTAAAGACAATGTAAGTAACAAGGTAAATTAAGACAAAGCAACATTGTTTAGCAAATAGAGTCCTTAAGGATGATAGGGGAGCATTCACCCCCACTTCCTGTCATAGAATGTATATCTCAAAAAGAGCTTATGACACAGTTATGGGAAAGTAGTCTGAGTACTTATGCTGAAAGCAGAAAAACAGAACCAATACATAAACTCTCAAAAGCAGAATAACATCTTATGTTCTGCAATACAACTTGAGATAATAACATATGTTCTGAAAGAACTACATAAAATAATGACTAATTAGTTATTAAAATGATTAACATTTTTTAAATGACAAATAATTTGATTTTGAAAATAAATTTGCAAACAACAGAACCTCAATTAGTTGAACATCAGATCAGCCTTGATAACGTAAAATAACCATTAAACTGCAGACAAAATTTTTATTACCATTTTGACATAAATCGTATAGCAAGGAATTGGGTGTACACTATTTTGAGCCAAACAATTGTTTTTTACATGGGCATTCACATATATCACAGTTTTAATCATTTTCTACTTTGAAACTTAAGCTTAGATATATGCGAGAACAGCAATATTTTCAGGGAAAGCAGGGCTCTCATGGACATTTGGAAAGTAAATCAGAAGACCAAAATGAATATAAATACAATGTATTTTTTCTCTCATAAGTAAAGACATTTAATATAAACACAAATGAAAAAGAAAAGCATAGTGTGTGACTAATGTAATTATTAATATGAGACATAAATATAAATGGCTGGCTTTTTACGTATGAAAAGAATGGAAAAATAAAAATTCTTATTGAAAAGATAAAGGCATAATGTGTGAGTATTGCATTTATTAATATAAATAAATATATAAATAAAGAATGGAAAAATTATTAATATAATAAACAAGTGCAATGGTAATGTTTAGAACTCTAAAACATTACATGAAAAAGCTTGTCACTAATACTAAGACAATTGCTACTAGTTTGTCAATAATACTAAGTAAAATAGACACTTGAGAAATAACTGATAAATACATTTGATACTTGTGATAACAAGATTAAAAAGTCCCTGAATAAAAACAAAATCATTAAAAATAATAATAATAAAGCCTTGTATGTGATATTTGGTATCATCAAAAAAGAAAAGAAAAATTACAAAAACTGCAAATAAAATCTTCTATGAGAACATTAACACTAAAAAAGATTGCTATTGTAGGTGATCAATAGGATGATCAGCTAAGAAGAAACATCAAAATAATAATAATAATAATAAAAAGAATTTGTATGTTATTAAATAAAATATCAAATAAAACGCTAACACGAACATTCATAATTAAAAAGCTGGGAGCGTGGCTTACAAGATCCTAAAATAAAAATTATAAAACAACAAATAAAATCCTTATTAAAAATAAAAAAATTTAAGACAGTTAATATTTTTGACAGGTGATTAAGTTAGTTAATTTTATTACGAACTAAAGAATTAAAATAGATTATCTGAACTGAGGTCGCAACAGATATAGAAATCTATTTAATTTTCACTTTTAATGCGGTTCATGCTCATATGATTAATATTATTATTTCGCATGATATTCAGCAATTAAAAGATGCAGTGAGAAAAATCTTCAATGAAATGACACACTTAGATTGAAATAAAATACATGAATTTGTATTAATCAGAAAATAAGAATACCTAATAACAAGTTTATTGGCATAAATCTAAAATAAGGAAAACTGCTTTTTAATAATAGTTTACTAAAAATAGAACTCAAAAATCAAGCTTACAAAAATCTAATCTCTAAAAAAATTCTAATTTTGGTTTTTTTTTTTTTAAACTTTTTTCGTAAAAATAAAATAAGACTTCCAAAAATTTCTCATGAACATTAATGAACTAAATTTACAAAAATCAGATAACTAAAAAGAACTTTAATGGTTTTCTTCTTATATTTATCAAAATATTCTTAATGAAAAACAGAGGGAAAAAATCAATTTATGTTTACTTATTAGAATAAAATTATAAAAAGGGCAAGAAAAATAAATGGGCTGAAATCAGGAGGTTGAATAATTTTACACCAAATAAACATAAAGTAAATAATCATTTTAAAAATAATAATAAATAAATAAAGTGGATCTGGGAATTTCAAAGATTAATATATTAATAAAATAAGTTTCTAATTGTATGTAAAAAATAATATTCTTACTACACACAATTATTTAATGAAATTTATTAAAAAATTTTTGGCACTAATACTAAGTGATTTCGTCAAATGAAACATAACATTACAGTTAAAATTATTTATAGTGAATTAAAGTTATCAAAATGCATATCAAGCAACAGCAATGCAATAAAAATCTTGATATTTCATAAACAAGATTCAAGAAAAATTAGAATTACAGCATGCACTATTATTTAACAACATTTGTCAGAAATAAAAATATTTACCCCCCAGTGGTATTGCAATACATAAATTTAATTCATTTTAGAGCGATAAGTCATTATAAACACACACACACAATTTTAAAATCTTATGTGAGTAAAAATTTAGATCACACAATTATATCATCAAACAAAATGTTTGATGACAGAATTTAATAGAATGTTTTTTTTTTTAATTAAATATGCAGAGAATTTCTAATGTAATTTTTAGCAGTGTAGATACAACATATTATGTTTAAAAAATTCTTTTCACCAGGCATCTTTAGAACTATATTCTAAATTTTGCTTCAGTTAATTAAAATATAATAAATAGTTATTCTACTTTTATTCAAATATATAAATAGTTATTCTAAATTTTGTTCCAACAAAAGGAGTGTATTTTTGTAAAGAAAATTAATAAAATGCATGTTTGTAAACTCTTATTTTTCACAATTTTGTTATTCTTCATTTCAAACTAAAGTAAATCAAATTTTCAAAAAGAATACTAAAATGACTTTTCTTCTTCTAAAAATACAGGATGATTCTAAAAAGATGGGCAAAATTTTAGGAAGTGATCGTACACACCCGAGCAAACAATTTTTATCAAAGAATGAATGTTCGAAAACAAAATGCAAAGGTGCTGGCACATTTGGAAATTGTTAGATGCAAATGCGAAAGCTCCATTCCTGTTGCGAGTTACAGTGCTGCGTTACTTGTCATCAAGTTTTTGGCCACTGCAGGAAAAGTTCGTGATACGCCTAGTGCGTTGTACTGCGTGCATAGCCGTTGCCGGCCACTGTTTTGAACACTTATTGTAATCACATGCCATTAAATTTGCTTTTATAACTTAACTTCATCGTTATTTGAGTGTTTTTGCCTCATATAAGAACATGAACTTTGACAGCCTCTAGCGGTTTTGCGTTTTGTTTTTGACCATCGATTCTTTGATAAAAATTGTTTGCTTGGGTGTGTACTATCACTTCCTAAAATTCTGCCCATCTTTTTTAGAATCACCCTGTAAATAGTTTTAAATTATCAATCTTAAGTGTATATAATTGTATAACTGCAAAATAACTAGGATAACGCTTATAATAAAGATTTTTCTGAATTATTTTGATGGTCTAACCTGCCCTTGTTTTCAGTAGACCAAAGTAACCCATGTTTTGAGTTTCAGAGAAGATCACAATAATTTCTTTCCTTACCATATACATTGAAAAACAGTAAGTAATTAAAATCGAATAATATTCTAAAATAATTCCTATTATTTCTCTAATGTTATTGAAACAAATTTTAGATTGTGAAGTAGTAGGCATCAAAAAAATTTACTTAGCAGTGCTAAAATAGAAAAAAATTAAAACAAAAATTGTACACTTTAGCTTATCTATGTGATTCTTTTGCAGAATTTGTTATACAAGTGGTGCAACATGTTAATGTAGAAAAAAAAAAAAATTATTAGCATTAAAATAATTGAGCCTGATCAAACATGCCATCTCTTTTCTGTATTTAGTTATTCAATTAAGCCTTAAATTTTAATTACTTGTAGGAGACATTAAAATTAATTTTTACTTATAACTTATTTCAAGATAAAGACAATCTTTCCTTTAAAAAGAGGTAAAAAAAATTACAATTGAAAACCTTTTAAAATTAGAAAATTGCATTAATTCACTGTTTATACTCTGTACTAAAAATAAAAACTCATTCAATAAACAAATATATTTTTCAAGTACATATTTGAGGGAATAGGAGATAGGAAGAAATTTTCAAAAGTAAATAAAAAGAAATTTTGTATGTCGTATGGTTTGCCCAGTAAAAATAGTTTTCTGCCATTAAATCTTAATATACCAGATATACCTATAATATTTAAAAAGGTTCTATTTTTTGAGAAAAAAATATATTTTGCAATGACAACAGAAAACAGCAATAGGTTGAGTTTTTAAAAAATATATTATAAAATAAAAGATTCAGAATGAAATAAACTTGAAAAATAAATTATATATTAGGTATAGACCAGCTATTCCTGGTCAAGTTTGACACTAAATTAAAAAGAAAAGTTAAATATTTTTTGTTATTACCTCACAATAAATTCCAGTAATGGTCTCCTCCAAGTATCTGGATTGTAATCAATGCCAAGAAGTATTGGTTGGGAAAGGCATTCTAATGGGACATTTATTTCATCTCTGATTTCTTTCAAAACTGAATCAAATACTTCTTCGCATATTCTAGATGGTTGACAGTGCTTGATATCTTGATTTGATTCATTAGTTACGACCTAAAAGTTAAAAGCATTTACATTATTAAAAAAAGAATAATAAGATAACATAAAGTAGATAAATTTATGTACATAAAACTGTAATATGCCAAAAGTGATATCCAGCCAAATTTGTTCCTATTTAAAGCTACCTTTAGTAAATTCTGTATTCTGTCTGTTTTGACTCAATTACACAGCTTGATATTAAAAGCATTTCTTTACTCAAAAGTTCAATTATAAGCATTTTTGAAATAACAATAGAAAATACAATTTAAGCCTAGAAAAAATCCCAGTCTTTTATGTTACAAAATTTTTATCACATCTAAAAGATAATACATTTTGTTCAGTAAATGTTTTCCTTTTTTAATAGAAATTTTAAATAAGATCTAATTGTTATAAAATATATATTTTATCCATAATTTTCTGAATCAATGTTTATTATTTTAACCACTGGATGACATTGTTTAATTACATAATGTTATTCTTAATAAATTTCACTTCCTTTTGAAAACTCATCTATATTACACCTTATTAAGAGCACTAGCTAAACCACTAACAATGACCAATTATGTTTATTTAAGAATAATTTTATAGGCAACTAAACTATAAATGCCTCAACTTTTTGAGTAAGACCTCAGATGTTCATGCGGTGTTCAATGAAGACAGCACATGTAAACACGCACAAGAAGACAAATGTAAGCATTCATTACCTTTATTTCATTTAAATGAATTTTTTTTAACCCACACGCATAACTTATTAAAAATTTAAGAACTTAAAAGGAATTTTTAAAATTAACTTTATAGTATTGAAATATTTAAAGCATAAAGTGAAAAACAAATTGAATTAACCTGGAATTGTCCACTTTTGATTAAAAAAAAACATTTTATAAGGTCAAAAGATATTCATAAATTTCCTAATTAAAAAAACTTTAAAGTTAAAACTTTTACTTTGAAGTAAATTATAGGGTGACCTGGGGTAATTCCTGATCAAAAAATGCAAACATCTATTTTGTGAAAAAACTATTCAAGATAAAATTTTAATATTTATTGGAAGTTTGAGACTATATAAGATGAGTCCTATGCCACCTTCTTTTATTTGCAAATCTAATTAGAATTTAAAAGATTTTCAATTTTTAGTGATCAGGAATTACCCCTGGTCTTGATCATTTCTGGGGTAATTACTGATCACTTCTGGGGTAATTACTGATCANTTTTGATTAAAAAAAAAAAAAAAACATTTTATAAGGTCAAAAGATATTCATAAATTTCCTAATAAAAAAAAACTTTAACTTAAAACTTTAAAGTTAAAACTTTTACTTTGAAGTAAATTATACTTGGAAATTATTTTAAAATTATAATCGATAAAATTTTTTATACAATGCGGAGCCAATAATTTTGAGCTTTTAATACTATGTTGAAATGAATTTAATGATTTATAAAGCTAAATGAATGGGGATATTGATGAGGGAATGAAAAACTGGGATATTTCCATATTGTGATCTGGTGCGCCAGCTACAATAAATTTTTTATTTTTTTTAAATGTGCTAGTTTAAAATTCATTTGGCACATGGCCATTGTAGTCGGCATGACAGATCACAATTTTGTGGAAATGAAAAAACTACTAACTAGAAAAAATACATGAAAAAAGCTCAAAACTAAAAAAAATCAAAAGTGGTTATAATTACTCCAACCAATCCTACAGAATTTAAAAGTGTTTCATATAGGATATAGATAATATAGCATTTTAGGTATACTGCAACACCTATAATGATATATTAAGATAACCACAGTTGAATAAGCATCATTAGTTACATATCACCCTATGCAGAGTAGTATCTACAACTATAATAGTTTCAAACATATTTATTATGATGTTACAAAGATAATAAGTTACTAAGATATTTATTTTAGATTACTGTAATAAATTTCTTTTGTGTTTCAGATAAAAATATAGGTATTAAAAAAAAATTCTGCAAGAAGCAGCACTATATACATCAGGCTCAGGATGACCACCAGGTCTATCAATCATCAGAGGCATTTCTGCACAATTTTCACTTCTTCTCATGAAAATTGTATCATCATTGGTTGTAATCAAAATAGCTCCAACACCAATTGGGTCAGCCATATATGCCTGAGGATTCTGATAATCTTTTAAACCATCTCGATGAAGTTCGTCAGCATATGGTGCACAATTTGTTCCAATAAAATCTTTGTAACATGTTACACCTATTTGAAATGTTAAATTATTCAAGCACGGGTTACTAATATCTTTAAGAATAGTGTCATGCAGTCTGAATTTTGTGGCATTAAATAAATTAGAGCAATTCTTCATTTTATTATCCCAGACCTCATTCACGTGCCTACGATATAAAGGATGAGATTTCATATTGAAGTCTTCACGAAATTCGACTTGAACAGTAGACACGGAAAAGCCACTACCTGGAGTGCAAAGAGTACGAATATTTTTTAAATCATCCATAGCTCTAATAATTTACATCCACCACAGTAATATTTTTTAAAATTATCCATAGGAAATTTAAAATAGAAGAATTTAAGTTGCATATCACAAATAAATCAGATTCGAAAAACAAATTATCGCAAAACATTATTGACGTTTCCGGCCAACTATTTCTGCTTGTTTGAAGGGTATAAGTATGCTGACGGAGCCAAAAAAAACACATATTAATATAATTAATAATAAATTTCACTTAAATAATTATTTCACTATTATAAAATAATAAATATTTACTAAAAGTTATATTTTTAATGGAATTGTCTTTGAATAGTTGAATTTTATTCCAAACTTTGGATTGTAACTTGGGATTGCCATATTTCCCAGATTATGACTACCCCCTATATTATAAAGGTTAGAAAATCGAATCCGTTGAAAAAAAAGTTATGTTTATTCAGCGAAAGTATGTTTTCGTGTCTGCTTTCGTAACTTAAAATATCATCTGCACTAATTAATTGTCATATTTGAGGTCACACCCTCGAACTATAACAAATGGAGTCCTAGAACGTGCAGATCCGATCATTAAATCAAAAGTAATTCAGTGTGACCCTTTTTTTGTGCACTGTATACATTAATGTTGCCAATATACGACATCTCACAAAGGAAAATTGACTAGTAGAAAAAGAAAAAGATATTCATGTTGTCTACTCTTGTCCCCCATGTCCATGCCCCCCCCTTTCCAATAAATATAATGCTAATCATAAAATACCAATTATATTATTACCAATTTACTAGATTCAAAATTTAAAAAAATTATGGAAATTGCACGTTATGAAAATTGAAGGAAATAATAAGCTTTTTTTATAGGCACATATACCCACATTTCAAGAGGTCAGGGCACTAAAAAATATAGCTATATTTTGAAAAGAATTCATTCTTGAATATTTTACCTATTGAAACTTCCGATCAGACAGAAGAACAGATAAATATGACGCCATGAGCGAAAAATAAGAAAAAAGTCTAACCTCATTTTTTTTTCTTTTTTAATTATTTTTATGGTTTGTCATGAAAATGAATTTCAATTGCTTCGTATTTCTAAACTAAAAATGCAATAACTTTCAACAAAATATTTCAATGAATATTTGTAACATTCGTTAGAGTAAAGATCATCTTCACGATTAAAAAAATATAAATTTCGAGGCAGTAAGAAAAGAAAGAAAAAGTGGAAAGTTAGATAAAATTAAAGCAATCTTAAATAAAATATGTTGAAATGTCTCATCTTGTTCCGGTTTAATTTACCAGGTTTTAAATTGAAATTGCTATGGAAAATAAAGTTATTTAATTGATAAATAGAAATGTTCACATTTTGAAGTAATAATAAATTATAATTCTGATGGTCGAATAAAATTTTTTTTCGCCATCAACAGTATTTATAGTTTTAGTATTAAAATTTTCCAAAATACAAACCTTAAACTCAAAAAAATACAAGATAAAAAATTTCTAAAAACGTTTATTAGCTCAAATAATTATTTTGACTATCCCCTATGATTTTGATTAAAAAAATTATATACATTTTGCTCATCGCTACCCCCATCTCCAAATGCTACGGAAACAAATTGTCGCATTCCTAAAAATATTTTTTTACTTCTAACTAAAGCATGTTTTATTCCTGATAATTATAAAATTTTCCAGAATTTCTTAAGGAAACTTTTGTATTAAAAAATGTTTTCGTTATTTTAATTGCTTAAAGTATAGATAGAGGTTAATTTTTCTATTCGAATAAAAACAACCTTTGTTTATATAAATTATTATTGGAGTATAAATGATAATTCATAAGGTTTATTTCAAATAAAAGAGAATAAATGTGTGTTTCAGCTCTCCTCTACATAATTATTAATATCGTTATTCTATAGGATAAGAATAAAGAAGTAAATTTAAAAGAAGATTAATTAAACCCAAACTTATTATTTCCCTGTTTTTTGAAGTAACAGTTTTTTTTCTCATAAGTACATAAAACTGCAATCTGTATTATTTTCCTCAATGAAAGAAAAGGGCTCGAAATTAATTTAATTTCAATAAAATAAAGATAATATTAATCTTAAAGAAAATTAAAGCTAAATATTCGCGAGAGCTACGTGTGAAGCATGGCGAGGTTGGTAGAGTACTGCGGACAAGTCAACCCTGGAGAACCTGGGTTCGAAACAATGCGGCAATTTGAGACTTCAACTTTTTTTTAATTTTTTATTTCATATTATTTTTTTAATGTGTTTTAGCACGAATAACGTTTTTTTACTATAAAAATTATTATTTTTCTTTTGAAA